GACAGAAGTGGAAACTCAACACAACCAGCAAGCCCCAATTACTCCACCGATACCTATTGTGACGATGGGGGAGAGGCCACTGATGTGGAGATAATGCTGATGAGTGTAACCCATACTGCCCTGGCAAGGATTGGTGTATAACCTGATGTCCTCTGAGTGATTACTTTTGGCATTATCTTGTACAATAGCACTGTGTTTCCCCCTCTCTCTCATGTGTCCCCTTTGTGATAGAGAAAGAAGTTTTAATTTTGTCTGATGTTGAGGATGATCTCAAGCAATCTGACAGGAGGGGAATGGTTAAAAGGAAGATAAGGAGCATGACATTATTCCCATATGGTTGTGACCTCAGTCACACACAACCTCAATCCTCCGGAGACATATGCTTGGGAAATATGTTATGGCATAGCACCTAAAGAATTAAGAGAGACTTATTCTGTTTCACATGAGGTCAAAGAGAAGCTGACGCTGGGTATGGCTAATGTGCCTTCACTAACTGGTTCTCCCCAGAGCCTGACTTCAGAACACAGAAAACAGCCCTAACCATTTATTCCTGCATCCGTCATCACCGCACAGCACGCTGCAATCACTATCATCCCGTCCACTGCCCTTGACCCCTCATGAATCAGCCTGTCAACCTGCCACAATTAAGACACAACGTGAAAACAACTTAAGTGTCGTCTGGATTCATGCTGGTGCTGGACAGGAATCAGAAATGTAGACATATAGGCTCCCAAAATCTGTTTACACCCTTATTTTTTTCTCACAAAGTTGTGCATCGTCTATTGTAAACTGAAATAAGTCGTGTGAATTAACTCTCATATCACTGTATGTAGTACAAAACTGTAAAAACTTGATTTACAGATAAATAAATGAGAATAAATAAAAGTAAGGAAAACAAATCACAAGCAGAGGCCAGAAACATAAATGAGAGCCAGTGAGGAAGCGAGGCATAATTGGTTTATGTTTATACTGGTGATTATTTGTCGTATGATGATCACCAGCTGGAGGTCGGAAGTTTTATCTCTCTGCTGAATCTAATCCAACCAGATCCTCACTTATTCCCACCACAACCAGAAAACAAACATGAAAGAAGAGATGTGATATATGAAAAAAAACATTTTTTTTTTTTTTTACAACTAATCCAAGCTCAGAACATTACTCTGAGCCGAAATAGGAAACACATAATGCCCCAATCAAATATACAGTGCCGCTTTCTCTTCCCATTGTTGCCGTCTTTCCTCTGGTACTGATGACACAGTGCAGATCTGATGAAATACTATCATCTATAAATAAAAGCTGTTACTATTGTTCAGCTGCGCAGCCTGATGGGAGAGTAGAGAGGGAGAATGATGCTGGGTAAATGGCCAAAGGGCCATTCGACACTGTAGCAGAGCCTGAGTGTAGCAGCAGTGAATGAGTCTTGGGCAAGCACGAAAACAGAGCTTGACATTAACTCATTAATGCAGGCCGTCCCATTGCTTGCAGGTCAACTGTAATGATGACTTACATAACCTCTACACACTGACTCTCCCCTCTGACGGTCCTGTTGTGATATTTGAAAGATGTCGACTGGGAGTCTATTAGACTAATTGTACCGAGAGAGCAGCCATGTGGTTCTTTGGGACACTATATCAAGGATGTTGACAGGGTTGATATTTTAAAGAAATACTTCATCAAGAAATAAATAGTTAATAATAAGCTATGTAATTACCTTTATACATGTATGTAGAGATTAAGCAAACTAAATTGGTCACAGTAATATTATTAACACCACAGGTGTGCAGTTTGTCTTCTGTTCAAAACTTTACATTTATTATATCATCTGCCGAGACGGCAATACTGATTGGACAGGAAACTACTCTCAGGAACTCTCAGGACTGGGTGACAGAGTTTGGAAAAGTTGCAGCATATGAAAGGTCGTCATATAAAATGTGTAACAAGACAGAATAATACTGTATCTAAAGTGGGGCTTATAGTTTTTTTCTCTTGGGGTGGGAACTGGAAATTGGGTAGGTTCTATGTCTATAAAAAGGTAGGCAGTTTTTTTCCTGAGTTACAGGACTAATGTTATATTTCAAAATATCAGTATTTATCAACATCAATACTTAATCAATAATAAATGAAGCTAAACAACATATGTGTTAATTACTGAGCTTTAGGCATATTGGTGGGTAGATTTTTGCAGTTTGGAGAGAGTCAGGTCAGTTGTTTTGTAAACTTCTCACCTCTTGGCTCTAGCTCCACAGCGGTATTGATCTTTTGACATCGTTTTTAAAGCCAAATATCCCAATTTTCAAGTTACACTATGGTCATCTGTTAATAAGTTTAGATTCAGTACGGCACGGTTATATAATAACTTGTGATCAAACACTGCAGCCACGGATCCTTCTAACGTTATTGGACAAATCGTTCTGTGATGAGTGCAGAATAATTCCTGAGGCCCACAAAGTCTGAGATACACTGAAAGAAGGGATCATCTGCTCTATAACCTGGTGGATAGCAAGTTAGAGACCACAACTGAGGATTGACTGGCTTCCCCAGCTGGAAGATGTTTAGACAGGATCAGGTCCTTGTGTTGACAGGAGGGATCAACAGTCAGGGCCACTTAAGGACAGATTATTGACCGTTTCTCCAGTATGCAGTCTGCAATAATGGAAGGGTCCGAAGCTGTCAAAATATATTTGTGCACAGTGCTTAAACAAATGAATGACCCATCAGAATGAACAATACAAGGAGATGAAGCTATGGATGGACAGTTATGTCACAACACAGACTTGTGACATCTCAAATACACTTAAAAGTAAAACACTGAGATGGAGAGGCCACTCAATAAAAAGACCATTAGGGTATTTTGCTGTAGCAGATGAAAGACTTAGGCAGTTTACAAATTGTCTTGCAGCTGATATGCCCATGTCCTTAATTTTGCAGGCACGCATCGTGCGCATATTGCTCCAGCTCCCTGCATGAATGCCTTATATGGCCTGTTGTCACACTGAGATGATGTTGTTGAAAAAGAATACATTTGACAAGAAGCTGATCCAAAGGACAAAAAGATTATTACCTAAACCAGGGGTGTGGCATGTATGTAGATTGCATGAAGTAACAAGTAAAAAAAGTTTTGGTCACAAAACTGTTACCTGAAAATTATTATTATGACGACCACTGCTCCTAACTTTAAAGGCTTGTTGATCAGCCTATACAAAAATACCCCAGTGAACAAGTCCCACTCATTTCCTTGCGATTCCCTCTGAAACATGTGAGATGGTGAGGAAAAACAATTCCAGTCCAGGATTTGGAGCAGCAGCTCATCGCTTTTGTTCTTGATGTAATGCCTTCATTCTTCACCGAGACAGCGGTGCATGCAGCCAAAGCAAAGGGAAGATTTTGTGCACAATGAGAAACTCAGATGGATAATTCGGGACCAAGTGTAAGTAGAGCTGCAGACAATGGAAGGGCTCCAGGTTTGAGCAGTTGGACTACAGAACCAGTGGACAACATAGATACATGACTAATGGGCTGGCTTAATGAGGTTCACATGTCACAGTACAGACTGTGCTTCCATATCTGGTGCAACTTCAGTATTAAAGTATGTGTCATCAATAAATTCACATCTGCAAACATGCTGTGATTAATCCAAAACAAAAACTACTTATCTGGGATTTGCCAATGGAGATAGAGGCGAAGGGATTGGCATCATAATGGGTGTTTGGAGGAAGATGAGATGAAGGGGGGGAAGCTCATCTCATTGGGTTGAGTGAACAGACGTCACTTCGGGGTAGTTTCCCAGCGTTTCACAGACAGGCTGTGGCAGGATTAGGTTCTGCAGGCGGTGCTGCTGTCTGCTTTCTAAATCCGCCTGCCAGTCTTTCTATCATTCTGTTTGCTCCAACTGATGTCACTTCTGAACTTCTGAAGTCACGGTTCAGACAAGAGCTCGGTAACAATGTGCTGTTGTTATTATTCAAAACATCCTGCAGATCACCATTTGTGGGAAATGATATCAATATGATCTACCAGAGAAGATGACATTAAACATACAGTATGTGGATACTCAATCCATCTCCAGCAAAAAAAAAAAAAAAAAAGTTTAATATCAAAGTTATAAAGTCATTTTCAATAATATCAAATTAAATGTTTTCAGGTCAAGTTTATGGCACAGCAAGATAATAAACCTATGAAATAATGAAATATATGTTTGTCAAGTAAATCATAGTAAATTGTTGAGGTAATATACACAGTCATTTTAAGGTAACAAGTAATTCTAAAAGAAACAAAATAAAGTATGGTGCTAGATTTGAGGCTCGATCAGCAGACATGTTGTCAAAAGCAGATTCTTCCTGCTACAGCTCAACAATGCTGGAAAAAAAAAAAAAAAAAATCGAGGGCAGAACACAAAGGCAAAGAAGCAGTCTGTTTAAACAAATATAGCCGCAAACAGGAATTGTCAGAGCCAAAAAAACAAGAGCACATCAAGCAGAGTACATTGCAAATGAGAAAAAAAGGACCCGTCTTCCTACTGAGCAATAGTGATCATTATTAGAGAAAGATGTGGCCCCATGGACTCTTGGACAACTTTGTCACAGCCGAATGGTCTGAAATTAATCAGTTGAGTGTCGTCAACAGAACTGTGGGAATGTTATTCACTCAAGAAACTGTAGGTCTATTCAACTGTCTTGCACTATGACTCATGAGCAACTGAATTATTGTGTATGATGTGTGCACTCCGCTCACAGGACGGGCTTATCATTGAGAACTTCCTGCTAACTGATGACTTAAATTATGTGATCCTGTGGTAAGTCCCACACTTAAAATAGGATAAACAGGGACTAAATATAAACTTCAATTTTCAATTTTTTCTGCCCAGTTGTCATGAAACTTTGGACAGTGAGTTTTAATTTGTTTGCCTCTTCAAACCAATACAGCAAAATCTGACCAAACCAATATCACCTAACATCAACTTCATGAAGTCAAATTGTGAAAAGGATTCAAGTATGATAATCCAGAGGGTTTTTCTTTCTTTGGAATATAATGAAGATTGAATCCATTCTGTAGAGGAGTATAGGAATGCGGTTTTGACTGAATGAGTTCATTGGCTGAAGTTGACCTGACTACATTTGTTGGCAACTGAAAAAGAATACACTCACCAACCATTAGGAACACCATGCCAATACTGGGCAGGGTCTCCCTTTGCTCTGTCAAAACAACCTCAGTTCTTCGTGGCATGGATTCGCCATTTCTTTGAGACTCTGCTCCATGTTGACATGATTGCATCTTATCATTTCTGCAGATGTCAGATACACGTTCACGCTGCCACATCCCAAAGGTGTTCTACTGGATTCACATCTGGTGACTGGGGAGGTCAATGAAGTACAATGAACTCATTGTCATGAAACCAGTTAGGGACGACGTTTGCTTTGTGACATGGTGCATTATCATGGTGGAACAGTATCCATTAGAGGATGGTAAATTGTGGCCATAAAGGTCCGCAACAAAACTTTGGTAGGCTATGCCACTCCAGCTATGTTTTTACAGTCTTCAACTGTCTAGTTTTGGTGAGCCTGCATCCACTGCAGCCTCAGATTTGTGTTTTTGGCTGACAGGAGTGGATCCTGGCGTGGTCTTCTGCTGTTGTGGCTCATCAGCCTCAAGGTTCAAGGTGATTCTTTTCTGCTCACCACATTTGTAAAGAGCGGTTATCTGAGTAGCATAGCCTTTCTGTCAGCTCCAACCAGTCTGACCATCCTCCTCTGAGCTCTGTCATCAACAAGGCATTTCTGTCTGCAAGACTGCCGCTCAAGATTTTTTGTTTTTAGCACCATCTTGAGTAAACTTTAGACACTGTCGTGCGTGAAAATACCAGGAGATCAGCAGTTACAGAAATAATCAAACCAGCCCGTCTTGATTCAAGACCCCAGGAAAAAAGACATTTGCTGACACATGACAAGGTTAATGCACAAAATCTAAGTTGGGCTGATGTTTGCACTTGAAGGACATTTCTAATGACAGAAGGATGTGCTGCCTTCATGTCTTAGTCTTATCTCTTATCAATTTGCCACAAAACAGTTCTATGAGCTGCCGCAGACCATCGCGGACATGAAAGAGACATAAACCATAGCTCATAAACACAACAGGGGGCCACTAAACTTTCCGTGCTTTGCTCCACAAAAAAATGAAACAACACCTGAAGACCTCATTATAGCACATGTTGGAGTCCAATATGACTGTCAATTTTATATATGTGAGCGTGTGAGTGCATAAGACTGAAGAGCAGGACAGCCGTATTATAGCAGACCTCTCCCTGAACTCCGTTGTCTCTGCAGGCATGTTCACTAACAGCTGAGGCTGGCAGGGGTTCTGCCCTGCTGGCCCAGTCATTAGCTCCTCCGCAGCATGCTCCCAAAGCTGTTCTGCTAATGGACGCCAAATAGCCCCGCCAATCCCTCCAACGCACACATAAGGAACTCATATTCATACCACAATGGATACATTGCTGCCAGTTCAACACCTTGCATCCTCATCTGTACAAACAACTTGCGTTTGTCAACATCTGTCGATTCCCCCATTTTATTACAAACAAATATTCCATTTCCAACAGGGACAACACACAGTAGAAAACACAATTTTTTAAACAATAATTCTTGAGTGCTTAAGTTGCAGTGATGTAAAGTTATCATAACCATTATGATATACACAGTTCATGTTACTTGGGGGAGAGGAGGTGGAGAGATAAAAAAGTGTATATCACACCAACTTAAGTGTGTGTTGAAATGTCCGAGTCATTTTTATGCTGTAGTGTCTACAGACTGGCTGAGATTAAGAGCTACACAGTAGTGCCCTTAACTACTGAGTTATTGCTCCTGTAACAATTTGCATCGCATTGAATCCAAGTCTGACATGACTGGCACAACCTCACACTTCATTGTCATACACACGGGTAACAGTACTGCATTCAGTAAGTATAAATAGGATAATCTGTTAAGACTTCTGTTATGTACAACGTAATTACAACTAGAAATGTCCAAATATCCCTACAAGTGACAGTTAACATGGAGTATCACAGTAAATACGGTTCTATTCAAAACCTTCACAAAAATCCACATAACACCAGCATTTTCATGGTATAAAAATAAGTTACAAATCTGCATAAATATTTTACACAAAACAGTTATAAAATATGCTGCATTTTCTGACAAGGATACACAAAACATTTTTTTACACCATTGGGTATTAAGAATATTTTCAGCTTGATGCTTGTTAAAAAAAAACATTCATTGTAGTTTTTGATGAACACAAACTGTTTAAAAATTGTTAGTCCCATTTTACACCACACTTGGCTACAACATTTATTTCAGATATACAAAATTGAAGAGGGAAAAAAAGGAGAACTGCAGCATAGCCAAGTCTCACTTCCTTTTATCGCCACTTCACTCCCCCCGTTCAGCAGAGATAGATGAAGAGCGTCCCATCCCATACAGATAAACCTCCTATGAACAAGGATTTCCCCTTAAGTATCAAGTCCACAGATGACTCCTTACAGGCTGAGCACAAAGACAGGAGAGAAAGACAGAGAGAGGGAGAGAATGAGTTGTTCCCAGTGTGTCATAAGAGAGATTACAGTATGAGAAATGGGCTTTATCCTGGATGTTCAGACATTGAGCTGACTTCCTTTGCAGACACATTACACTGTGTATTTTAGAGCTTTTGCTGCGCTGAACTACTGAGTTGAATTAATGGAATAATGAACAATGGCCAAATATGACCTCATGTTTGAGTGAGACTAGGGAATGCCAAGGGTCGTGGCTTCAAAATGTCCTGTTTCTCAATTAGCTGGCTTTCACAGTATACAGAAACGGTGAAACTGTGGGTGATAAGTAATCCTCTACAAGGATGTTTCACCACAGGAGAGCCAGAGCCACGGGTAATACAACAGATGCAAAACCATTACTGCATCATCAAGACATCAGCATCGTTTGATTTAGGCTATACCAAAAGCATAGTGACATTTTGAATGTGTATATTACTACAGTCGATACATGCAGCTTAACAGCTGAGTTAACAAACACGAATAAGGCAACCCAGTGTCGCCTGCAAACACAGTGCAACACCACTGCGATCTTCAAAGGCTGTGCATAGATGCACAAATGTTTTTAAAAGACACTGATGGTGTCACATTGATACTTCTATCTTTATGCACCACCCTCGTCTTTCTGTACATCTCTGACTATTATATTGCTGCTACAAACTATGCCAATACTGCCCTAGTTAAAAATACATTTGAAAAATAACCAAAAGGCAAAATCCCTTGATTCAATGTCATCATTCAATTCAGTTATGTATGTGCATGAACAAAATGTGAACTTATGTAGTTCAAATACAAAAGTTGCCGTCGTTAGACTTATTCTATTCTTATATAGAGTGCTTGTAGTATGTATATGTGGTTGCAATGCAGTACAGTGTGACTGCTCTCACAGTTTGTGAGGTTCTGTAACATTTTGTCAAGCATCTGCTTTAAATTCTGTATTGTGCATTTGTTGTTTAACACATTGGCATCAAATACCAGGTCAAATTACTTGTGCACTTACTGTAACTGATTAACACGATTCTAATTGTTGGCTGGAAGGTAAGTGAAGGTATTTCAGCGAAACACTCACACAACGGTACTGTATGTGCAGTATCTAAGTCTAAATCAATCTTTAAGTTTATATAAATATTTTTTTTTATCTATATCTTACACATACACACATGTTGAACTGGCTCAGCTTACCTGCGCTTCAGCCGCTTTTGAGGCAGTGCTCTGAAAACAGAGAAAAAGTTTGTGAGGCCACTATGTAAGAGCATCTCTGTGATATATGTTGTACAATGTGATCATGTGTTTGAGCTGATTTCAGTCCAGCATGACTTGTGACAAAATGCAAGAGCTTCAACATGGAAACATTGTTGAAATAATATAATCCTTAACTGCCACTAAGTCTTTTTCTGTCCATCCCATCGACATGTAGAGGGGTTCGCCACACTATATTTACTGCCACAGGCACCAATCACCTCATTTGTTTAGGGATTTCATGCAGTAGGACAACCTTGACATAAATTGGCTGAGTGCTGACGGTTATATTCAACTATGAAACCAGAGTCCAGCAGCAGCCCCTGCAGTTACTGAGCCTTCAGGTCTAATTAAAATCAGTCAGCCTGTGTGCTGATCAGCACACTTGTGTGCCATATATCTCCGGTACGATGACCACTCTGTTATTTTAGGCACATTGTTCCTCTTTCAGGATTCATTTTCAGCCTTTTATGGTGTACCATAAAGCTAACCTTTTTTTCTCATCTCAGTGATGAGTGTGCCAAGTCTTGCAGAGCTGCACAGAAATCAAATAATATCTTAGCTAATGTTTCATGGAATTTGGTGCACGAAGACAGAAAACATTGTTGTGGTGTGATCGTTTCGATTCTTAAATGAACAATTTGATTATGACTGCATTACGTCTGTTCTTATTATTTATCAGCTGAACAAGTTTATACAATTAGTTGGGTTTTTTTTTTTTAACATGAAATGAAGGCTCAATATATCTCAACAGTCTTTAACACTTAAATAAAAGCCCCCCTTTATCATTGTTTATGATTTCTTACAAACCAAAATAGCCACCATATCTGTCTTATATGAAATAGTTGGCATCCTTCATCAGGGTGTACAGTAGACAATGTTTTCCTCTTCACACACAGACAAACAAAACAAAATGCTTTCTCTGCACTTGTTTTTAACCTGATTACCGAAGTCAGGGGTTGGTGCCACCTGGTGGAAGAAATTGTTAATGCTGCACACACAAACAGCCTTACACACATCTACATCCACATTCACCCACATATATACACAGATGTGGAGGGCAACGACAATAGCTTTTAAACACTTTCTTTTGGCACTTTAATGCTTCAAAAATTAATCCTACTGAGGATTAGATAATATTTACACGTGGGCAACACATGTATGGCTAGGGCAAAATGGATCTACAGCAGTGTGTGCTTGTGTGTTTACGTGTGCAAAGAGGCCACTGGCATCATCATACACACACACACACACGCGCTCACTCACCTATAGATGTTTGGGTCTAACAGCATGGCTGTGTCCTGCGGTAACTGGGATAAGTGCACCACTTTAGTCTTCAGCTGACATCGCTCCGTTTCATTCACCCACACGTCAGGTAGTCTGCAAGACAATACACACACACGCAGAGAGGACATGTGGTCATGGTTTAAGCTCTTACAAGAATGAGAGAGAGAAATGGGGGAGTGGAGTTGGAGGAAGGTTGAATGGAGCGGGCGGTGGGAGAGATGGACAAAGAGCTTCATTGAGTCCAGAGCACATGTTGACACCTACATTTTCATAAGTAACACGGCTTTGACCAAAGCACTGGGACTGACACATGCACATAGGTGTGCAGACCTTCACACACACAAAAACAGAGGACAAAGCATACTGTCCTCCCATGTTGTCAATTATTAAGTAACTACTACCACCAGGTACTCTATACCTTCATAATTAGTTTTTTTCTTCACTAGTGTGCACTTACATATCAAATGTGGGACTGGTGAATGACTGTGTGTATGTATATGTGTATTGTGAAGGTGTTTTTGTGTGCATTTAAAACAGTCCAGTATGAAAGCAGCTTGAAATACAGATACCAGGCGCCTCAAAGTCAGAAGCTTGAGAGTGACAGGCACACACCCACATGATGTACTGTACTGCCAAGCTGTACCTTACTGTACCCACAGCAGTGTGATCCCCCATGAAAAAAGGGAGTATGCGAGTACTGGTGAGGCAAGTCAAGGTGCAGAAGAAAGAAACAAAGAGCTTAGCGACTTGACTGCACCTCCCCTCCCTTCTCCAGCCTCCCCTGTCTCCACCCCCAGCATTCCCCCCGTCACTATGTGCGTCATCACAGGAGCCCCCAGAGATGCAGACATGTGCGCGCGTACACACACACACACAGCCAAATCACTCATTCACATGCCTAGTCAGGCCATTCAGTGGATGTGTGCAGGTAGTGCTCCACATGCAGCACATTTGCAGCGCAAATAAGTGTGGGTAGAGATGAAGAACAAAAGGGGAAAAAGTAATAGAAAACTGACAAATAAAGGACAGGGAAAGAGAGAGATAGAGGGAAAGGGAAAGTGGAGAGAGGGAGGGGAAACAACTCACTTACATAGTGGTTGCAAATCCTTTTATGGCATGTTTAAGAGCCTAGAGGGTGGGGCTTGCCCCATAGGATGATTTAGTAAATACTATAAAGTTTAGAAAACCAGTGCTTCTGATTTTGAGGTGCTAGCAAAATCCAATCTGTGATGCTGCGTTAAACATTATCCTTCAAGTTATCATTGTTAAACTAAGAACTATGTGTAATCACTTTCGACCCAGGCTTGACTAGATGTTCATTAGAACTACAGATGAGGATTTCTGTCTGTGCCCTTTGAATAAACACATGCGCACGCAAACAAACCAGAATTGTTATCTCAATAAGAATGTGCATACATACAGTACAAGCATGTTTTACCAAATAACTAAAGACAGGGCCCACAGCCAAATACAACTCTCAATTCATGACATAAAGTCAGAAGCCCAACTCACCCTTTTGCTTTAGGAACTGACAGATGACAACTGACATCAGAAAAATTTATATGGCGTATCGAGTCAAACTGTATCTTACAGTTAGTATGCTTTAAGTAATTTATCAAGGAAAAAAATGCAGTTTTCTGGTCTAATGGAAAGACATACAAATAAAACAAAAACTAAAGTAAAAAACTTGCCCTTATGGAGGTATTCATGCATAGTATGAGGAATGTGGTGGTAATTATGTCCAAATATTGTAATGTTGATGGCAGTTTTTACCCATAAGCATGGCTTACTTTAATGTTGATGATTTTTAATATACTGTATAGATGAGCACTAATGGAATACAGCAAAAGCCCCCATAATTTTGGTCAAAGCATAGAAAAGGTTTTTCAGTAGTTATTTCTAAATTGTAACCCTGATACAGAAATGTTAATTAACTTTCTCTGAACTCTGTAGTGCAAGGCAAAAGTGTTTGCATCCCCTTTAATGGTGGCGAGAGCAGAAAGAGGAAGTTGAAAAGAGGCAGGGACAAGACAAGAAACAGCTCCCTTCAAAGCAGCTTTAAAGTTTAGGTTAGTCTTGAGTTAGTGTCCTTGTGAAAAGCAAACCTCAAATGACAGAAGAGGACCTGCAGAGTGTTAAATATGCAGTAAACACCCATGTGTGTTTGTGAACGTGCACAGTTACATGCACGTTCCACTCTAGAGTCACCATAAACATGTCAGACCGAGTGTGCTGGGGTACTGGTGAGTTATTATATTCTGATCAATGGGAGGCACACAAGACAGTATAACACACTCACACACACACATACGCAGACATACGCACACGTGCGTGCACACACACACACAGATTTTCAAAGACCTAAAAAGCATCTCCACCCAAAGACTCCATTCATTCACACCAAGCCAAATAAAGACAAATGGATTTATTTTATTTTCCAGAGGAGACTGTTTGGCTCGCTTCTTTATGAGCCAGAAATGTATATTGTGAGGGAGGCCTCTGTGGGGAAAGCTACTGGGGGTGTTTGCCAGAGTGAAGCCCAGTCTTCTACCCTGAATTGATGGCTGGCTTCAGGCCTTGACACTCCCCGTGGTGACAGGAGCAATAGGTTCATCACAAAGCAGCAGAGTGTATATTAAATTACTAACATATTAAATGGCTTTATACAGAACTCAGTCGGAGTGACTGAAAGAGTTCAATGTCCTTATAAACTGCCTCATTCTACATAGAAGAAGACAGCAGGCCCAGAGAGCTGGTCCTGGGACTGAAAAGGTCACTGCAGCCTCAAGGAAAACCCTGTCTGGCAAAAACAAGACTGCACAATCACAGTTCAGACAATTGCTCACTATTGCAACTGCACTCCAAAATGCCTTACAGATGCAAATTCTAAATATTTTTAGTGCTCAGAACTTGAAGTACCATGCTAATTCTAGTGGGGACAAATTCATAGTTGAGCAACACGTAGTTATATAAAAACTGATTTACACACAGATAATTGTATTTTCTGGCCCATCAATGGAATTGAACTCAAAGGATTTAGATACATTCACACAACTAGTTTTGGAGGTTACTGCTAACGAGTGCTTCTTCCTTGCCTGATATTCACTCCTGCCAGCAGTTGTTTAAACTTCACTGCCACTATGTGAAACGTTTTTTTCAACCTAGGGTTGTGCGATATGACCAAAATCTCATATCATTTCAGTCAGACCCATCTATCCCAGTTGTGGCTGGTTTCAATTTTCTTGCTAAGAACTATAACTGACACAAACGGCTACACAAACATATTTTCTTTAATGGACAATTCAGTTATGTTCATAATAAAACACTGACTTTTAACTATGAAATAACTATGTGAACGGTTGATGTTCTCTCCATCTCTGTCTCACTACAAATTGCAAGCTTTTTGTCTTTTTCACTCACTCACTTCCATGCCGACATTGAGTTGTGTGTGTAGCTGTATCATAATATGATACGACAGATATTGTTCTATTGTCACACAATATAGGTTTACACAATGAATACATAAGTGGGGAAAAAAGTAAGTAAGAAATAAGTAATATAGGACACAACGAAGTCCTATAAACCTGATATCCTCCGATGTAAGGTGGAGGAACAATCCTTAGACTGAGGGTATATTTATGTATGTTTCATAAGATATGAGTTTTTAATACCATATGTGTAGATTGTATTTGTTTGACGAGTTATGTCTTTTTGGGAAATATTGAAAGGTCCACATGCCTTTTTTATTAAAAAAATCATTCCAGTTTGAATTTTTTTTTTTTTTAAGAATATACTTTTTCCATTATATATTAATTAGATTTTTTCAGCTTCCTATATTGCATATTCTGATATTATATTGGACATTGTGCAATTTTTGCAAAGTGTGAAAAACCACTATGTACGAGGGCTCTACTAGCTTGAGATAATTGTGCACTTTGTTAACTGCTTAAAGACAAACAAAGCAATGACAAAAGCAAAAAATGACAAACTACCTAACAAAAATTTTAAAAATAAACCCATTTTGTGCATGATAAGCACCTTGTAGTTTGTCCAAAATCATGTGTCAGGATGCCAGTGGGTCAAGGCAGTTCATTGTCACTGACTGTGAAGTCTACCGTTTATTATTCAATAGCATTCAGCAGCATACAGGGGAATCCATTCACCCATCCATCACAGATTAGACAGCAATTATGGTTCTCTCTTTCTCTCTCAGCCCACCCGCCTCCCTCTTCCTCCTCAGTGAGCTGCTGCTAGTTCATGTTCAGAATGGTTCATGTTAATCAGTTACTCATTAATCCAAATGGAGTTAATGAGTGTCAGTCAGAATGTGAATGGTTTGCTCCAGCATTAATAAACATGACTTCCCACATTCACATGACTAATCATTGACTAAGTGACTGAGAAGTGCGCACACACACACAAAGTATAGCACATGATGTTGAGGGTCACAACATTTGATGGTTAACTAAATGACCACAAGAAGGACATTACAATGAGTAAACTAAACACTAACTTGGCCAAATTAATATTCACTACTAACCCCTGAACAGCAATTGTCCAGTCATAACTTTAGTATTGTAGTTTAGCATAGAATGCCTGTCAAGGTTTTTATTGCTCCACATGCAAAAGTGCAAGAGTTGCTTGACATTTAAAGAGTGTGCAGAGAGTGTCTTTTTTAGCCTTTCCAAAACCAAAAACACATGAGCAAAAGACGAACAAGTAAAGTATAAGAAATGGTTTCAACAATGGGGTTATCTGCCTTAATGTAAGATGTAATTCTTAGCATGTGCAGGTAACTAGTTTACCTAACTTGGGAATATCAGATTTCAGGCAACATCGGCAACTCTCTCTGGCTCTTCAGTGGAATTGGGTAAGACCCCATAAAAGTTACCCAAAATAGCTTTACATTCCCCTAACATCTATTAGTCCTCATCCTTTTCTATTGTTATGACAAAAGGGAAAACATAATGATTTAAAAATATGAAAAACTATGTATGCTAAGCAACCAAACAGGGTTATGTCAGAACTAAAGAATGTGTGGCTAATCTTACATGTTTCTTTATCACAGTCATTATAATTCTCTTAGGAGCAACTACCTCTACATTGCAAGAAGAATGCTGCTCCTTTACTTCTATGTTTTTTTTTATGGATCATCAACGGGTAAGGATGCTGACTTTTTGAGACATGTAGCTTTAGCCTCAGTATTTTAGTGCAATATCATGTATGCAGTCATCAAGCACTTGTACAGCAAGATTCCTTTTACAAGATTCTTGTTTTAAAATAATTACACGAGAAACATTAAAAACTCAGCCTGAGATAAAGTTTTCAACCAGCTCTACAAGATAATGTTAGCTTGAGTAGGTTGTCTGTTTTTGAACCCACTGTTTCAGGAATTAATGATAATTTTGGGTGGTAAACCTCTCCTTGTTATGATTGTAAACTGCATATACAGTCATAGCAACAGTAACTAAGGGGGGCAGGCTTAGCGAACAGTCAATTATATGCACAACAGGAAAAGATGCAAAATCAAGGAATACATACTATACATACTTTAATCTCCTGGTAAACCTTTATCTGCTAGGAGATAATACAGCCACCCTAACAGTTTAAGATACCACTGTGTAATTCCTTCACCACTCCTCTATGGTTATGTGTATTAATGACCAGAGCATTCGCCCACTGCAGGGCAAATGTACGACTCAGAAGTATCACTGATTTCCCCTGCATGGACCAAGCCAAAAAGGATCAAACTCTTGTTTTCTATCTCTATGTTTAATTCTCTCCCCATCATTCATTCTCTCTGGTTTCATTCTGCCTCTTCTTCACATTTTTTTCTCCCACAACCATTTTGTTCCCACTCCCATTTCTCACTTTCCTCAGTTCTCTGTCTCCCCCATTCCTTCCCTCATCCATTCTGCCTTTGAGTCTCAGTATCAATCTCCATCTATGTCTCTCTGTTTGGAATTAATCTGACGGGTCTTTCCTGATCACCAAACTTCATCTCTCTCTTCTGCTCCCTTTCCCTCATTATTTCTCTATGCACAAGATTAAACTCCCATACGTGGGGTGACGAGGAGATTGCAGAGGTGGATCAGAGAGGGGGAAAGGAAAGAAGAAGAAAGATGGGAAGCTGAAGCAGCAGAAGGCTGAGAATACAAGGGTTTAGTTACAGTATGTTCATTGGAGGCTGTCAGATGTAATCTACTTCATGATGCATCATCCAGGTTTCTTTGCCCAGTGCCATCTTTGCTCTTTTCACTAAACCTATTTTTCTCTTCGCTTCAAACCTCTTTTTTGTCTCCTCTGACCTTGCCCCTCCTTCCACATCCTTCCTATCATCTCCCACCTCTCCTTTGCCCTACGTCTTCCTCTCTCTTCTCTCTAATCATCTTCAGAGGCTGTGTAGTCAAACCCTTTAATGGAAGTGTGGGAGTGCTGGAAGTGTGGTGGGAGCTTCCCTGGAGCCAAAGCTCTGCTGAGAATCACAGCGCTCAATGAAGCTCTTATTCTCTGTGAGACAGACCCATTTCATTTCAAGCACAGTGCCGAACCTGCCTGGCCTTCTGGCCAATTTCTTAAATGGGCTGGGGCTAAATGGTGCCAAGATTCACCTCCAGTTGGCTGAGCCTGGTGAGACTGAGCTGGGCATAGGTACCATTTGTAGCTAGTGAGGACTGGGCAGAGCAGCTCATGCCCCAGTGGGCTGAGCATGATTTTTTAGTGGAAGTTCATCCAGAGGTTACACCAAAATGCTGTGATGGACATTTATTACCTAAACTGGGAATTGATGCAACATTTATTGGAGAGACACAAAGAAGAAAATCAGCCTACAAGTAATTTTGGATGGTGAGCCATTGTTTAAAAGACACTTCAATGGACCAATTCAAGGTTTATCCGAGTAAGACCAAGCCAAGCAGATGGTATAGAACCAGTGCCAGACTCAGAGAGGGACAGAGACAGATATTTTTAATGCTTAGTCCAGTCTTCTCTCCATCAGTGCTCCAGGCATGAGCATGGGTATCGTACCACTGACTGAGGATACTAGCTGGTAAGCATGGCTGTTGCCCTCGACTCCATTTGAGGATAGCCTTGGGGCTTTAAGCAGAGGAGCTAGCATGATATATGCTATACGGGGACCTGGACTCCTCACACAGAGTTCTCCACAACAAATACTGGATTAGCCAAGAGAGGAAGGTTGGGAAGATTTATTGCAAGCCATGACATGAAGGAAGGCCACCATGTTGACTGCGCCGCTGGATGGGAAGAAGAGTCATAAAACTATCAGAGACAGATACACATACATTGTTGATGTTCACTTGCACATGCAGGCACCCCTGCTGCTCAAAAAGGAAATGTTTGCGTGACAAGCACAGGCTTTGCATGGTAAGCATGTGCAGGATATTAGTACATGTGGTGTTGAGTTGCCTATAGAGCTGAAATTTCAAAAGTTATCAACAAATCTCAAGATAATCTCTTCCCATTTTAATGAGGTTTTTGGTCACACATCATGCATCCAAACCCTCCAAAAACAAACAAAAAAAACAAAAAACAAAACACAGCCCAGTATTTCAACTCCACCTTAACCAGTTTCTCCCAACAGGATTAAAGCTACAATGAACAATATCATTGGTAGTTAGGTTATCTGGCAATTTGACCTAGACATATCAGCTAGCGATGCAGAACGTCACAACAGCGAATCAATTTTTATATTGTTTCAATTCTTTTGTTTTCTCAGAATAATAATGATAAACGAATTAAAATGATTAGGCATTTGATTTTGAAAACTTCACTTAATCTCTTCGTCTGGTATAAATCCTAAAAGTATCTACTACATTTTGTCTGGTAAATTTGCGACACAGTGTCACTGTGACAGTTTGTCATTTGTGATTTTTGATTAGTTGTCAAGCCTCTAGACGGCAGGTAGTATCTAATATGAGTCAGTCAGAGGGGAGATGCCAGGAGCAGAGTGGAGAGATTGATGAATGAGAATGGCATGTTGCTGTTGGGAGCAACGTCTCACTGAAAGTGTAATAGACAATGAATGATAACCTTCCTCCCTGAAGTATTATGGTTTAGCTTCTGTATGCATCTATTTGTTAAACTAAATGAACTGAAACCAAGGTAAGCTCAAAGCAACGGATGGGTATTTAACATTTTACCACAACCACTGCATTACTGTTGCTTTGTTGTGACACAAAGCAACAGTAATGCACCTTTCTGTGACGTTATTATTATTTACTTATTTTATTTAACTTATTATTCATGATTTATGTGTCAGTAACTGGTACCCTGCACTTTCTGTCATGCATTACATCATCATTTTTAATTTATGCATTTGTTCTTTTTAAAATCCTATCTTAGCTTATATTAGGCAAGGTAAAGGTTTATGCAGATGATGTATAGTGTAGGAGAAGTTTTACTCACATATCCTCAGGTGTCCAGTGCAGGAGAACCTTGACCTTTCCAGACCCCTCTTTCCTTCTGGCCAGCACCTGCACAGAGACAATCAAGCAAAAAAAAAAGAAAAAAAAACAAAACAGTTACAAAAGACACAAAGAAGTACTGAGAGACCAAGAAAATGAATACTTGTGTTTTCACGCTGTCATTTCACTCAGTCAGTCAACTTGTCTCTGCTGCACTGTTGTCATTTGGCATATGCAAGACCCAGGCAACTGTAACTGGCCTCACCAATGAAAAGTAACCACCAAATATTTCCAAAAGGCATATAACTTAACCCACATATTATGGTTAATTTCAAATTTCAAGCTAGTTTGCAATTTTATAAGCATCAGATTTGCATTAATGTGTCGGGTTTGGCTCATATTGCAGCAGTATCGTTTGTCTGTAGAGAACCAGCTTCAAAGACAAGCCCCATCCTGCCCCATCTCTAACGAATAATGAGGCTACATGCTTCAAACATCTCACAGAGTGATACAGTGGCTGATCATTACACTAATAAGCAATGTGAGCAATCTTAATAATGCATGCAAGAGCTCAGAGAGATTTCTATTTTCAACGGGATCTATCCCACATTACTCTGCAACATACTATAAGACCACTGAATTCAAATTCAGACAAAAGTTTGATATCTCCTAAGTGTTTGGACTTAACTGAGAACTGTTTATCACAGCTGGCACTGTAGAGAGCCAAGAAGATAGAAATGGACTACAGGCGGAGCAGTTATCACCATAAACAAGTCACTGCTCTTGTTTTGAATCACGTCAGCACCAGACGCTTCAACACTTTAAACAGGAGTGTGTCTGACTGGAACTAGCACCCACTTTCTAATGTTTGCTGCAGAACATGACACGATGTGTTCATTTTATCTGTGTTGTGTTCTGTTACCTGGTTTAATTACCTAAAGACTTAATCTGCCAACACAACCACAAACTTCAAGGCAGTTCTTCTTGTGAAAATACTCTCAAGGCAATACCAGATTTCCTGAATAGTTGGCCCTTTTCATGTATAACATTTCATCTATCATGCTGTGTTGGTTTATAGTAAAACTGGTCTGGAATCCACACAAATATTGTCAGTAGGGAAAAGAAAAGCTAGAAAAATAACCAGGAGTGTCAAAAATAGCCCTAGATATAACCTCTTGCGTCAATTGGCTCTTTTTTGTGAGGAATGTCTATTTTTAGGATGGTGAATGAGTTCACATGTGAAGAACTTCTCTTACGCACATGAATATCTGAAATTATTTTTATGACTCTAGGGACTGGCTGCGGCATTGATGGAAACTGGTTTGAGGACAGGAGGGAGGAGGCTGCACCGAGACAGGAGACAGAGACAGAGACCTAGAATCACTCTTCTCCACTACTACTTTTCCTACCCTCCCACATTTTAGCCAAAATATGTATCAATTTCTTTGTTTTAAGGAACCTCAGTCAGTTTAATTTATCTCACCAATGTGACAATAGAGCATATTTCTATGCTGAGATTCATGTTTTTGTCTTGTGTCCATACTGAAGTAAAAATCTGCATGTCGCTTTTTTCTTTACAACATTTCTCTATGCTAATGCATTAGGAAATAGCTCCATCCCTTTTGTATGCAGGAGGGGCTTTGCAAAAAAACATACAAATCCATATTTATATTCTGATAAGCTTCCAGGTATAGAGTCGTTGGAAGAAGTCTTTAGGAAAACAAATGGGACACAAACATCTTTAGTTACAGACTGATTAACTTTTTGAAAGAAATATTTAGACTAGGTTAGTAGATATGAGATTTTGTTTTTGCTGGCTTGGTGCCATATCATTTGTCTGTGAGAAGCTATGTAAATAGCAGCCAAGTTGGCAAATCAACCATGTTGTTGCCTCTTGTCTGTAATATAGTGCTCACGCACAAAACTCCTTACAGTGGACAAGAGAACAAGCAGAGAGCAAAACAGCAGTAACAGCATGAGTGATGAACCTGAGAAAATTACTCACGCTTGAACACAAATACTTTTGATATGAAATCTAAGCCCTTTTCTATGACATATAAAAACAAATATGAGTGCTACAGTCTGACTTTAAAGGGAAAAAACAGTGGAGATTTCTGCATCCTTTTCCCGGTCAGTGACTCATAAAAATGATGGGCTAGAGTGATACATGGAGTAGATGCAGTAGGGGTCTCCTGCTGTCTGCCTGGGTTCTCTAAAATGCATGTGAACATGTAGGTAAGATTCATTAGTTAGACTGCGTTAGACAGCCCCGTCTTACAGATTTTATATTCACAAATGCAAATTCTGTAAATCCCCACCTTTTCTTTCGATGTGTCCATTACAGGGGCTATTTGTAAGTATTCTCTGAAGTCAAATGCGTTTTTTTTTTTTGCTACCATTGCCTTTACAATACAAGAGGTTATAATATGCCCTCAGAGCTGCCCTATGACTTCAGGGTAGATTGGACACTACAGTGACTTGCTATCGGAAAGCGACAAGAAAGTCTGAAGGGCCAGGGCTAGCTGTTTAGCATGCTAACTTCAGTAGAACAAAAGAAGTAAAACAAATAGAAGTAGAACAAGTTAACATTGGCATTGCTTTCCACAGGACACAGGTCTTGGTGCCAAAAGGAATGAAGTCTGATACTGAACTTGCAACATTTCTTCTAGACTGGTAAGTTAACAGCTGTTAATATTAACGTTGGCTATGTAGAAACCGCAATAGTTACTAATGTCATAGTTCCTCACATCAAAAGTTACTGTATTTCATGGTGTTAATAAAACTCGGGAGGAAAAACTTGAGTCTCCAGTTTTTATTTGAGGCAATAGCTCCTTTAGGCCATATTACAGTCTCGATATCTCGATAATTATCCAAAGCAGAGGTCACTAATAGGCAGACCAGTTTACATCTGGACCCAAGCACCATCCTATTCAGACCCTGACCTATAACTTATAAATTATTGAGAAATATTCCATTTTGACAAAACATTTCTATTTTAACATGGGCAGCTCGAGTGTGTGACTCGAGTCAATGAGTGAGATGCACACAGAGGGGATGAGACAAGAGACAGTTGGAGAAATAAATGGGCAAGTGGGGGAGTGGGACATAAGAGGAAAAGAAAGAGAAAAGCAGGGTTTAAAACTGCTCAATGCGTTGAATTTAAAGAAAAAAGAAGAAAAAGTACAAAAAGGGAAACTCAAGCTACACTTTATTTCATTTTTGTAAAATTAAGCACCTTATTTTAAGATGCACATTATTCAAAAGCTTTCTTATGAGAAATTAGAAAAGAATATTAAATTATAATTAGAGATGTTATTATTTATAATCCCTCCTGTTCACTGACTCAGAGAATCAATCTCACTTCACAAATTAACATTGTCTCTCAATTTGTCTTGTTTATCTGCCTCTGCCTTTATCTGCTAGTTTTCCACCAGGGCTTGGATAGCTACTACTGCTCCACTGTAAATCCACATGAGGGAGACGAGACAACTTCTCAGAGACAACAATGCGGCCTGGCTGCAGAATTAGCCTAAGTCCAGTACTGGCTGCAACAGGCCAGCCATACTATAAGTGTCTCAAGCCCTGTAGCCGAGACTCTGTACATCAGCAGCTGCTTTACTGCCCTTTTAATTATAAATGCATTGCTGTTAACCTGTGCCCTCAGGCTCCTCACAGCACGAGGCTAATAATCACAAACCCAGGCTACGCTTGAAGGGGCCATGACCATGTATGTAAATGCTGAAAATGAAGAAGTGGGCTTGTGTTTAAGCAGCATGAAGTGATTTGTGAGCTGAGTGGTTTGATGATAGCAGTTGATGCTTTAAAGGGACAGATCTTTATCCTCTACAGACCCAAGAGAGGGAGGCAAGAGAGAGAGAGGGAGGGAGTGAGAGCAGGAGGAAATAGGGAGTTAACAGTGGATATTAGTGTGGCTCCAAAACAAGGCAGTGAAAACGGCAGGACCAAAGCCGGGGGAGGGCAGGCCTGCTAAAACTGGGTGCCTGTCTGGTGTCAGGGGGTCAAGCTGCGGATGACGCAGATTGGCGCAATAACAAAAATATCCCATCATAAACATGACTGAGTTGCTCTGGCGTGTCAGCAGGCCCACTGGCCAAACTCCACAGAACCCCTACAGCTCTGCTCCATCTCCCCAGGCCTGGGAGGGCCCGTTGGGGCCTGGGGTTTGACGCAGCACCGCAGTCTTTCTCCACCACAATCCTCTCTGGGGGTTAGAGAGAAGGAGAATGTATGCCCAACTGGCCAGATCTCCTTCCGATTCCATGACCCTGACCTTTATTTAACCCCCTTTCCTTGTCCTTTCTCTCCAAGTCTCTGTTTCTCTCCATTTGTTACTCTCCTTCCCCTGGCTGGCTCTTCCTCCTCCTCAGTCTATGTCCAAATATGCGGTTACCTCTCTTAACCTCTTCCCAAGCTTTATCTTCACTTTTTTTTTTCCTGAGCTTTTCTTTTAAAATTCTTGGCTGCTGGAGAGCAGTTGAGGTTTGCAGGAGCAGAGCAGAGCAGAAAAGAGTTGAAAGGGACTGAGAGAGACTAAGAGTAACGCAAATACTGTAGTGAGGATAGCACTAGTGTCAACACTCTAATTACATTTCATCATGAACAGAAGCATTACCCACAAGTTTGTCTAAAACTGCATTCAACACTCATTCTCAATAGTGCTTAAAGTTTTGCCATTGTAAATGTATTTTCATGGCTATCTGTTTATATGCAGAAAATATAGTACTGTATGTAACTAAGATGTTGTAGGTACTGGACATGTGATTCTTCTGCAACTGACGAGGGCAGTATAATAACCCTAGAAGCCTCCTAGTCTGACAACAACAAAAGAGAAGAAGACGGGAGGCATATAAACAATAACAACAACACGTGGAATGGCAGCTGCAAGTGCAGGGGTGTATTTCAAAAGCGAGTTTAGTGAAAAGAGGTCAGCTGCGATTTTTGAAAATAAATAAATAAATAAATGAATAAATAAATAAAAAAATGCCAAGACTGTATGAACATATTTTGCATTTGATGCAGATCAGCAGAGACAACTTATAACCAAAAGCCAGTATGCAAACAGTGCATTTCAAATGAAATGAGGAAACACCTAAAACTCATCCAAGAACCTCAAAGGCAGATCCAGATCTATAGACAAAATTCAGGGTGAGTGAGTTTTAGTTGTTAACTATATATCAAAAGCTTGTTGTCAAAATGTTCATTTCCTGAAATGTTACTGTTATTGTTTGTGAATTGCGGCCACTGGCATCTGTTGTAACAACACTGCGCACACAATGTTCTCAAAGGCTAATGCTAGCTTGTTTAGGCTAACATATCAAGAGCTCATACTATGAGCTGGGTACTCACATTAACAGGCTACAGTCATCACCATTCAGTCTGTCAAAATATAAAGCTGGCTTTTTAAAAATATTTTCACACCATAGGTCTGTCACCTCGTTAGTCAATTTAAACTACTACATGCACACAGACCATATGGAGGTGTGTGCATGTGTATGTCTGTGTGTGTGTGCGAGTGTGCACGCACATACACACAAATTAACACACTGTGTGCTGCAGCCTCTGCTGTTTTTTTGTTTCTTGCTGTGGTATTGAATTTTATTATTTTTTTTTATTATTATTATTATTATTATTATTATAGTTTCCTGACTTTAAAATCATATTATGACAATATCTCCTTGTATATTTTTGTCCTGCAATTAGCCATATTGTGACAGAAATTGATACCCCTACACTGTTACCCTAACGTACTTATTAATATCATGATAATAATCATTGATCATCTGTACAAAACAACCGCCCTACCTGTGTGTGTATGTTTGTGTCTTTAAATGTAGAGTATCTATCCAAGTGGTTTAAGTCACATATGAAGGGCCCCAGGAGATGTTTTCGCTTTTCTCTTAGGGGAGAAAATGTACATGAAATGTATATTCTTCCACTAATGAGCACACTAATTATTTCTGCTAGGTTAGCAAGTGGTGGCATTAGCATGCAAAATAGCACACTAAATGTATGATCTATATAAGAATGAACTCAGTGGGGGTGAAATAAAATACCTACTGGCAAATTCTCTCTGCAAAGTGCTACAAGAAGATAATATTGGCCAAATGCACTAAGGTAACCACTGTAAACAAAATCACTGCCACAGATTAAAGAGTAAGCTTCTATATGAATATAACAGGAGACTATGCTGATAAACAAATTAAGTGGGATTGTGAGGATTTTTTTTATTTACAGTATGTGAAAGAAAGCAGAATGATGCAGCACATGAGGAGCCTTTCTTTTTCCAGATTATTATTATTTAAAAATGATACCATCACACAATTTGAGACCTCTGAACAGGAGACATGGTGCTCCCTAGTGGAACTGAGTAAGAACAGCAATCATTCAAAAATTCTGTGATTCACACCCTTCACATCCAAGATGTCACTACAGTTAACCTCCATTAATATAGAATTCACTCCCCCACTCTTTAAAGACATTGTCAGTGAGGGATGGAGAATCTTTCACTTGGAAAACAATTTTTCCTGCAAGTGCTCATGTGTGTCCTCAATAGTAAGGTGCAAAGGCACTTAACAGCTCATTAATAATGTATCATGCACTGGGTTCAGAATGGACTGGGCTCTATACTCAAAAACAATCCAATTGTGTTTCCTGTGAAGCTTGATTCAGAGAAAACAACATCAAGTCTTGGGGCGATTCACAAGGTTCACTTCAAGTGCACAGAGAAAAAAAATCTGCAGTGATTCTTTCACACCCCCTGTTGTCTAAAAAGAAAACAACAAAAAATAAAGCGATTTCAAAAATCAAGGGGGGGGGGACAAATGTGACAACAATTATGTATATTAGGCTGGCAGACTGTCTATATTCATTACTTGACAGATTATGATTTAGACATGAAACAGAATAAGTACCGAGTATAATCTTTATATATTCTCATCAATGTCTCAACAGTCATATGTTGATGCTTTGATTTGTCTGTTGTGTAAGGAAGAATGCTGCTTCCACTGCTGCTACATTATGCCTATAACACTTTTTCAATATGCAGATGCAGAGACTGATAGTGGTTTATAAACTATTCACAGATTCCTCATTATATCAGGATATTTTTAATCCCTGTGATGTGGGGTTTAAAATGTAAAATCATAATGAAACTAAAAATTAACTGTTGACTAGACTTGTGTATATCAAGGTGGCCTAAACAGCTCCAAAGTCAATGATTAAAACTTTTGTGTATTCACATAAATTTCTGTTGATGGACCCATGTTAAGTATGTTTTACTAAATCTGAAACAAGCCTAATTTTTTGTCTGCATAACTCATGTTATGATGACTTTCCTATGATGGAACATTTAATGTTTATTAATTAACGTTAAGGAGTGGAAAATAATATAAATAGTAGTAACCCACAGAGCAGAGGAATGCATCTGATAATTCTGATAATTTATCCCCCACCCCTGCCACCCTCTTCTCTGTATTCCCACTGCTCCTCATTGTCTTTGAACCCATTAAAACATAAACAGGTAGCCATAGGCAAATACTAAAAGACACAGAAAAGTAGTGAAGCACTCACCGTGCTATGAAAGACCACACTGTGGCCATTGCCCACACTCTCAATGTGGGTGGCGAGGTTGAGACAGATGGCCCTGTGTCGAATAGCATCCATAGTTTGGGCATCGAAGAAGTCGTGGGGCCTCGCTGGATAGGAATAAGGACACAATCAATGAGACCAGAGTCAAACAAACATAACACCAGGGTTCCCCACTGTGGCTCCAACATATAAAAATTCCATGGCTTTTCCAAGTCTTTCTGTAACTAACCATAACTACGTCAGAATCATCTCATGACTGAAAAATGCTATTCCATTGTGGTTTTTAAATATTGCTTTGCAGCAACAAAAAAGTCCCAAGTCAGTAAAATAAGAGGTGAAACTCTCCGTTGAAAGATATAGTAATGAAATTCTTATGGTTTAGTTGCTCTGAATAACTGCCTCACTGCACATATTCAGTGGTAAGGAAATAATTCAGACCTCTTGAAATTCAATGTTATTATAAAATACATTTTTTCAGGATTTTCAGTTGAGGGCTATGCAAGGCCCTTTGTAGTCTATGAAAGCGAAGACACTTTTTTTTCCCCTTTTACAAAAAACTGGTCCATCTAGGTACGACTAGGAAGCCGCACTGAATCTCAACTGGCACTCAAATGAATAATGAGCATCTTTTAATCAGAAGAGTGAAATACAATAAAAACATGCAACCGTGTAATTCTCTGGCATTTTTTCCATAATCTATATCCATAAAGTTTCTTATTTTTTGTTTTCTCAGAGTGCTTTGAATAGGACTTCAGTCTCAATCCTATGTATTAGAGATCATTTTAAAGTCAACACCAAAGAATTGCATCATAAAAAAAAAAAAAACTGTAAATTAAAATCAGATTAATTCTGTTTTAGCCATGTCAAGAGACGAACCTCTGATGAAAGATTGCATTTCCATGGCTAAATAATATTCCAAACATCTACCTCTTCCCTGCTAACTAGTATGTTGCTTTGATGCAAGAGACTCATGCAGTGGTTCCACAAAACAATACTTGTAACAGTTGCAACTTGCAGCAGAGATAATCAACAGGAAATGGTTAATGCAAGAATATCAACCTCAATCAAGCCATTGGTTTCCAGCCAATTCACTACAGGATAAAACAACTAGATGAGACTTATGTATTCTTTCATACATTTTGATCCTTTTTATTGATTGATTTTTTTTTTTTTTTTGAAGTTATATTACCATCTTTTGTAATGGACTGACAAGCTAAGACTGTTCTCTCACCTGTTGCTGCATTCATAATCTTTTATCAATACAAGAAAGATGATCCTCATACGGTATATATTTTCTTATAGTTTCATTTTGTTGTTTTTGTTTTTTTATTTTCTTTTATTTTCTGTCAACATGTTTCATGAATGAAAAGCTTTATTCATTCAACTATCAACTGTTCAATGTCAAGAGTGTCTGTGAATGCACCACTATTACGAGTTCTAAAAACGGTGCTTGTTGGCTGAATTACCATGCATCAGTACAAGACTTAATAAGACAGTTTACTTGGATAGATCATAACCTCGGCAATTTTTCTATTTCCTGTTATGTCTTTGCAAGTTGATTTGGATTTTGTATTCAAATTAATGTAGGTCAATGGCTATTAATGTAGGTTAATGGCAATCAATCTAAAACGTTATGCTTGGGAAAAAAGATGGAAATAACCCAAAGTATATAAAATCTTTAGCTAATGTACTGAAATATGCAAAACTATTGATGTGGTCTTTTAATGACCTCATAAAATCTTCCAACGAAATCTGTAAAACCCACAGTAATGGGAGATATGTGTTTTACAGCTTCCAATTTGTCTGTAATGTTATTTTGTAATTGTAATTGTAATTTTACTTTTGCACCTCACAAAAAAAACAGACAAGTAGAGGTTACAGGTAGAAAAAAGAGCTGGGTCTGCATAATGCAGAGAGAGAGACAGGCTATCTGAGGTAAAGTCTGCCACAAGGGAGCTAACGATCAGCATCTACCTGGGTGCAGACACCAGCAGAGAGAAATTTTAAGAAAAAAACTCAAAAGTTGTTCTGTGAAATGCAGAACATTGCCATGGGGAGAATCTGGCTGTCTAGTTCTCATAAGTTTAGTATCTGTTTGTGTGTGGTGTGTGTGTGTGTGTGTGTGTGTGTGTGTGTGTGTGTGTGTGTGTGTGTGTGTGGTCCAGCACTAGATTCTCCAACAAAGAGATGTGGGGGGTCAGGACCTGAAAACATCTGTTTCAGCACAACATAAATGGCACTACATCAAAAATGTGTTGAAGCTTGTAATCCTAACCATCAAAGAAAAGACGGAAATCACAATGAGAAACATTTTGAAACTGGTTTAGTTTGTGTGCTTGTTAGGTACGTACGTAGGGAGCACCTGCGTTTGTTCTTGAGTTTTTTCCTTTTGTTGAGTCCAGCCTTGGAGGGTGACTCCTCTTTGAGTTTGGCCTGGCTGGACATTTTGGAGGAGCTCTGCTGGCTGAAGTGACTGGGTACATGCCGAGCCAGCCCTCCCTGGGAAGCAAAGCTGGCATTGCAGCCACCAACTACACACTGGAACAGAGCACAAAAATACAAAAAACATGGTATATTTGACAATTAGAACGACAAGATGACAACTTTTCAAATAAGCTACTAAGAAATATCTATTTTAGTTAATGATGTGGCTGAGTAGATGCTGGGGAAGGTGCTGTCCTGTGCAACCAAACTTAGTAGTAGTTAGTGAAGCAACAATGATGTTGACTCGACCTAGATGTTGATACTATAAACATTACCCATAAGCAGAATATTATCAGATACGTATGAATGTTAATTATCATCAGAATATGAAAAGAAAAATTGCTACAGATGTACATCATGCCTGAGTTATTGGTTTTACCTTAAAGGGCTTATCTCCACTGTGGGTCAACATGTGTCTCTGGAGCCAACTCTGACTGGTGGATGGTGTGTTATAAACCTTACAACCCTTCCACAGACAGACAAACACCTGAGGAACACAAACAGAGAAGACAGGACAAGGGGTTAATGTTGGAGTAGCAGGACAAATAAAAAGAAGAAATAGGTGGAAAACAGCAAAAGAACAATGTTATAGATAGCAAAATAACTGTGAACAAAGAGAGGCTAATTGTCGAAACAGTTTGGATAAGGATTGTTAGACAGAAAGACCCATTTCTTAAATTATACATGTAAAGTTGCTTAGTCCCAACTTCCATTCTCTGGAGTCTGTGGACTTTCTTGGATATGGCCTACAAGTGGAGAAGGTCAGTGTGCTTTGTGATATCATTTGTATTTCTCAAGAAAGAAAAACTCCCAGCATGTGCCCGTCACAGCTAATTCAAGACTTTTTTTAGACTGAATGAAACCTAAAAATGTAAGGCACACTGCAACTTAGGTTAAAATCTTTTTTCTATACAAGTGACTCAGATGCCAGACTTGGTCTCTAAAACAAGGGCAAGTTTGTTTCCAGCTGCATTCAAAGGTTGGTTCAAAATCGGCTTAATATTCATGTTTGCCTAATTTTCTTACATAAGGCATATTCTAAGTGCACAGTAACTAAATGATGTTTCCAACTAAGTAAGCAATCAATAAAACTTAAAGGGTCAGTTCAGACAAAATAAACCACAAGTGGTATTTAGACATTCAGAAATTTTGTTTGTCATGGTCACAACACTGACACTGGATGTGAAACAGGAAACAGCAACATTTCTTTCAAGAAACAGTGTCCCCATTACTCCAGATAACTCACAGAACACACTGCACTGTTTAAGGGAAGTATTTATTCAGCAGAAAGTTGTTTCAATGAAAACTCCTCACAGCAGCACAGTTGAACCAACCATTTAATATTCAAAAGGTTGCATGCTGTCCAATTTCAGCAAATTGTTCTACTCTGTCTTGGGTGTCTACACTGACAACGTTAAGCTACAGCCTGCTAGGACATCAACATAAAGTTTGTCCAAAATTTTAAAATCTACTAACCCCTCCTCTCTGTCCATCCACATGAATTCCCCTGATATGCTCTGCCAGATCCGGGCTGGAGTTGAAGCACTGTGGACAGAGGTCCCAGCAGCAGGGGTAAGCCACTGTCTTAGCCCCTGAGGAGCTGGCACTGCTTTGTCCATTCATCATAGCAGGAGTGGAACGTCCGCTGGACACTGTGCTCTCCATCTCCATCAGGGTGCTGCTGATACTGAGAGTGAGGAGAGGGTGGAGTGGTTAGAGAGAGAGAGGAGAGAGAGCTCAACAGTTATAAAACATGAGCACTAAGGCCATCAAGAATATCTTGATAGCTTACATCAGGCTTTGCACAGCCGTGACGAACAGGTGCAGATATCACTTGCCACATTACATAGTCTCTATGCGTGAAAGCTTCCAGGCTCTAGCTGATTTTTCATGCATGCCACTTTCATCACTCATGCCAAATCAATTATATCCTTGTATTCAATGCTCCTAGCACTATATTATTAATTTGCTGTGCTGTCAACACCAACAAAGGGCTCATAGGGAATAGTTTACTCATTACTCATTCAACAAGTAACAGTTTCTTTCCCATTACCATTTCCAGTGCAGTGTTTAAGCTAGTTTTATGAATAAGATCAGTAGGATTAGCTTTAAATAGATTATTTTCCCAACATGTTTAAAACCTCACTCCCTTTAAAAATGTGTTTTGCTTGTTGTTACTTAACTTGGATGTTTGACCCAAAGTTTGCAGGATGTTGTTACATTATAATCTGCAAATGGATTTTCCCCATTCATCTGCTTAAGGTGGAGAGTTTCTTATAAATATGAGTTTAAGTCTTGTACATACAAGATGATTTTGTGACATAAAAACTATTTTGGAAACCATTCATGATCATTCTTGATTACAGGAGTATGATGGTGAAATATGAAACTTCCAGTAGTTTTCAGTTAAGGAGGAGACATCTTGCATCCAACAGTAAAACCTAAAAAAAAGTATATACACAGGTTCGGGGGTTTATCAATGGGGGAGAAGGAGTAGATGGAGGTGTAGGAGGTGCTGTAACTTTTTTGTGGGAAAAACATATCAAATGCAAATAATTATCCAGGCAGAGTATTTTTCATGTCACTCTGAGGACATGTCTGATCTTTACTACAAATAAATACCAAGTTAAAGTGAAAATAAATAAGGGGTGTAGGATAAGCGGTTGATTACATTTTGGTTGGCAGGTTGCTGATATAAATGAATATATTGTTTAACAGCTTGACCTATTAATAACAAAAACTTAACTTAATCGTTATCCTGTGCTTGTTCAATGATGGGATGGAAGAAGTATTACTGTCAGTAGCTACTGTAACGCGTTCACACCCACCCAACACTGGTCAAGAGTAACCTGTCAGTTTCCCACACTAACCTGTCCTCCGAGTCCATACGGCTCAACGGTTCACCATCCGAGGATGATATCTCCACACTCGGCCGCCTCTTATCGCCCAGCTCCCCACCCCCGCCACTGGGTTTCTCACTGTCTTCACAAACTGTTTTGCTCTTTTCGCTGTCTATCCCCGAACACCGGCTGTCTTCTCCTGGTTCCTCCTTCACTTCTTTCACCGTGTTACCGGTGGCAGGCTCGTTGTTACTACCTCCAGAGCTTTGCTCTAACTCCGGCTTTTGCTCAGGTTCTTCAGGAGCGGCTGTCGCCTCCAGGTTGACCGTTACAGCCTTGTCGTCTGTCACCGCCTCGCTCGCGGCCTTGTCTGCCGCTTCAGCGAGCTTGTCTTCGCCGGCCTGCGCACCCACCTCTTCCATTTTCGGTTCTACGCTACTGCCAGGTTCCTCTGTTTCCGCTTCGGTAAGGCCCTTTTCTATCTCCTCACCGTTGCACTCGTTTGTCTCTACGGTCGGTGCATCGTTCTCAGTACTCAGCGCGGGTGTTTCTTCTGTAGCCGCAGCAGCCATTTCAGCGGCGTACGTACCGTGGGATACTTTCGGTATTAAAATTTACCCGTGGCACCGTCAAATGCTTCACTGCAGAGGGAGGGCTGGGTCAAATCACACTGTCTGCTCTCTGATTGGTCAGAGGCGGCACGAGGAGGGCAAACTCTGACGTTGGTATTTAAACATTCCATGTGTTTCAGTTTCCTCCTTTCTTTTAAATAGAGGAGTCAGTGTTTACTAGAGCAAAGGCTCACTAGTTAAGGCCAGGGGACTCTCCTTCAGGAACCACGCATAATAACTGAAGTGTATTTTTAGAATCAACATTTATGTGCTGAGGGTCTTGGACAATACAATGGCGTTAGCAATTTTCCTAATGTTCCCTTTTATAAGTTAATAATAATAATATAAGTCAAATATTAAGAAAAAATTGGCACGAGAAATATCAAGCGAATCAAAATTGAGAACATAATGTCATTAATTTATGTCCTTATGAACCTGACCAGAGCTCACAGGTCTATTTGAAACAGGATGCTTTCATTCAGTCCAAGAAATGCAGTCACCTGTGTGATGTAGATGAGGTTGAGAATGAATTGCATTGTATATTCTATTGTCCATTTTATCATCTTCCAGTTAAACTTTTCCTGTAAATGTCTGCTGGCATTGCAGTACTGCTTGACATATAAGATATTTGATGTAGCTCAGCTTTTGTTAAATGTCTGTAATGGACATATGAGAGTTGTGTATGTTTAATTTGTTGAGGTTTTATCTTATATAATGTATTTATACATGTATACACTACCATGCATTGCTTTCCGTTCTTTTTGTTTTCTCTTGCCTCTGAAAGTAATGTAATATAATGTTTATGATGCTTAAGTAGCATTTTTTCATTCATTCATTCAATAAGAATAACTTTTGGGGTGCCAGGTTGTGAAAAATCCTTTTAGCTGGTGCTCTTCCACTTGATTTATCTTTTTATGCAGTTATGTAGTTCACCAGGTAGATACATGGACCACTTATATCCTGGAAAAAGCCTGTAGGGTGTCTGGGCCAAAATGTATTTATTAATCTTATTAACAAGTAACTCTAGACTTGGTGGCTTATTAGAAAAAGTTGCTCTTTTCAATGGCTTACAACTTATCTATAAAGCATTAGTAAATTATTTGTTAATCGTTATTTAGGCCATTGGATACAAGTATAAACCCTTTATGAAGGGTGCCTTATTTGAAAGTGGTACCTATTTTCTTTTTTATTATTATTATCTTATTATTATTATTATCTCCAACTTCAGCTTTGTGAATTTTCTTAGTAAGTAAAGGCATCCACCATCATAAAACTTGTGTTTGGAAGTTGCAGCATATGGCAAATGCTGTGGCAGCACAATGACCACAAGAGGGAGCCACAGTTCTATACTTTCACTGACCATCACTCATACCAAGGGCTTCATGGTTTGACCCAAAACAAATGATTTCTCTCATCTCTTTACATGATTATTTCTGATGAAGCTGATAATTTGTTCATTATTGAAGCATACATTTTTAAATGTTCTCAAAATTCTCATACTTTTGACGGTATTTCCATACATAATCTCTGACTAAACACAGGTTCTATGTAGTAAGATAACACGGCATTTGATCTGAGGAGCAGGACTAAGTGTATATGGCTTTACCTTTAGCGTTACCATTACAACTATCTACAAAAGTGGTGAAGGACACAAATGCAACAACTCATTAAGAACAGCAACATTTATTTAACATGATATAAAACAGATGGGATATGAACATTTCCAAATCAAATCTAGTACGTAACCATATCTTGGATACATCCTCCCATCCTGCTGTACCATGTACATTATATACACAGTAAACCTCTGATAATTACACTTTGTACACACAAAAAAAATTAATCCTGGATCCACAAACATTTTTATTGCTTTTTACATGTGCTCATCTTTTTTTTTTTTAGTTACAGGACTTCAAACCAACATATCATAAAATAGAACCAAAGTCAGATTTTTTCCATCTTTCAATTAAATAGATCTCTCAGCAATAAAAAAAAAGACAGTATAGAGTGACTTAAGCCAGAACATTCACACAATTGTCGGCAACAACGCCACAGGGACTGCAGATGATCCCATTTTTAAATAATTACAACCCAGAAATAGGAGAAATTACAAATAATCTTAGTCTGCAGCAATAATGTGGCTCCTCCTTTCATTATAATGGAGGAATCTATATCTCTATGTTTTGCATCGACAAATGTTCTTTACAATAAATGGATAAATATGAATGGTTGGCTGATGACCAATGCCTGAAAAACAAATTGAGTGAATTATAAAAGACTTAAGTGAACTCAAATGATGTGAAAATGTTTTCTTGTAACCTTTTTGGACAGGTGGTGAAACATGAATGGAAAATGTGGCATGGCCAAAAACATTTAATCACGGGCCCTTAGGCTTACAGCAGAGCTCTGTCTATTAGCCTCATATATATCTACAGACAGACATTAGCCCATATTCAAACAAGAACCTAATAAAACCATATAAATATTAAAAATAAACTTAAAAGCCTTGTAAAAACTGAAAATGGAACTGCAACAACAGAATCAAAGCTGTCTCACCAGGTTAAGGAGAGTGTGACGCCCCAAAATAGGGGCAATTGCAGAGAAATGTCACAGAGAAAAGAGTTTTTTGTGGCATCAGAGCTTAAGACGTCACAGTGAGCATACAGAAGTCAGAGGTTAAGGCCCGAGAGGACAGAGTAGGCAGTTTCACTCTCTGTGGGCCTGTGGCCTTGTGCTGATGTCCTTGGGTAAGTCTTCAGGGGCATCTTTATACTTCTACTGCTGTTTCCTTCATGTGTATGTTTTTACTGAGGCCAGAGCCTGTGCTGCAGAAAGAGAAGGTGAGAAAAATTTAATTATGTTCCAAAAATAACAGCAGGCACTGGATAAATAGGATTCCCTATGTCCAATAAGTAAAATCAATATTACAGTCTTTTGATTTTTATCAGTAGGCAACAACAAATACTGTGAATAACTACACACACTACCAAAAGAAATACCACACAATGTGAGAAAGTGGTGGGTACAGCTACAGCAACACAGAATACATACAAACACGCCATACAGTAACAATTTTCCCTCCTATGCTTCTATATAACTTACATGAATCCCTTCATTCTCACATGTTTTTTTTCTCCCCAGAGACAACAATTAAAATACTGAGAACACTTTAGCATTGTGAGTATGGACAAAACAAGGTGATGAAGGCCCTTACTGGTGCTACTACACACACATGAAGTGAGACCCATCAGTGAGCTGAGGGGGTGTGTTAGGAGACTGTGGAAGGGGTGGGGAAGAGGACGACAGGCTTTTCACTGCAACAAAACAGAGCAACATGATAAACTCACACAGACACACACAAAATAACGAAAACAAATTCCATCTGTAGCTCATGACTTAATGGCCAAAAACAAACACAAATAATCACTGAAGTCAATGAAATTAATGAAGAAACTAATGAGACTGCAATGATAAATGACTGAACACATGCTCAATGGAAGCAGCTGCAGTTTAACAAACCATGACATAAAATAAGGCTTGTAAAGTAAACAGGCTCCCACTAGCTTTTGTTTTATCACATGCATTCTTTTTATCACCCACACCCCCCCTTTCTCTCTAGAAATGTACCTGCTACCAGCTTGCTGCGTTTGGAGGCCTCAGCTGCCAGCTCGTAGGAGATATTAATCATCTTCTCTTTCTCCTGTACAGTAACCTCCTCTTCAGTCTCCTCCTCTGGGCTTAGAGCCATGCTAGGCAGCACATTTTGCATGCTAGGAGCACACACACATACACAACTGACTTCTGTAGTATACAGTATACAACAACTTTAATTTCACAATAAACACAATTACCCCAGGACAAACAAGCTATCTCACTTAAATCAATTCAAGGGGGATGACATTTAGAATTTAAATGTCACAGTGGCTGGGACATAGAAACATGCACTTTTCTGCACATCTAAGGAACTGATCTGCACAGAAAGAGCAGGAAGGCAGTGTGGTCCCTTTTGAGCCATCTATGGTTATGTCTTGCTATGACCCCAAACTTACCCCTCGGGTTTTAGAAAGAATTTCATGCATGAAATCTGCTTGGAAATATCAGTGCTCACTGGCACAGATAGCCCTTTCACCAAAGGATCTCTATCTAATATAAAAGGCCCATACAGGCCTGTCCTTGCTAACAAATAGTTACTGGTAACAATAGATCATGATGGTGTTTACCTGTTTTTTGCTATGAGGGCTTTGATGCGGTCAACTTTCCTCTGCTTATCAGCCTCCTGCTCAGGGCTCAGAGCCTCGTCAGGGTCTGACTCTACATAACGTTCAGGAATCAGCACTTTGTCAGGCACAGAAAGCTGAAGAAATGCAACCAGAGAACAAACACTTCATGTAGCACATTTCATACAAATGATTGGAATACATTGTGCTTTGCAAATTAAAAAAAAACAGGCAGAAGCTAAAAGTGTAAATAAATAAATGAATAAATAAATAAATGACATTCATAAACAAATAACAGATGCTCATTATCGTCATCATCATCATCATCATTATCATTCAGTAGAGGAAGACTGTTCCACATCTTGCGTCTGTTAGAACTAAATGGAGCATCACTGTAAGCTACATCCTAGAGTGAGAAACACAATATCAGACTTTCTGCAGCATGCAGAGATCAGTCAGGGACATAAACTGAACGTTCTTTGATGTAATCCAGAGAAAGGCCATGAACTTTTCAAAAACAGCAAGAAGCACCTTGAAATCAAGTTTATAGCTTACAGGCAGCCTATGAAAAAATGTTAGTGTAAGGAGTCATTGTGTAATACTTAGTTTGACATGGAAAAAAAAAATGGCTGCAGAGTTTTGCAACTTTACTTATTGGTAGATTCAAAAAAGTATGATAAAAGTAGTACAATAATGTAAGTGATTTCTAAGTAAGCCCTCAAAGTAAGCCAAACAGGACACACATTTATTTAAGTTATTTCCCCCATAATTTTACTATATGCACCCTCAATAAGCATGTGTGAATAAGTGTGATATTTGGGTAATACAAATATCTCAGTCAGTCAGTCAGTCAGTGATTTGTAAGGTACAATTGTTACAACATTGTGAATGTGTTACTTTTAAAGTACCACAGCATTTAGTTACAACATCAAGTTTTTTTCATAACATCGTTTGCTTTAGTTTCACTGTATTAAAAATAGTAATGCCATTTAAATATGTCACATTCTCTAATTATTCCAGATTTAATACTCAATACATCCACAATCCTTGATGTTCCGTTGGTGTGCATTTGCTAAATAATTAGCCAGTGACAATATTAGTCTTCTCGGTCTGATGAGTCAGACAGCCAACTGCTGTGCCTTACCTCTCGGTCCACATTAAAGTGGTCAGCCTGTGAAGCTTCTTTGAGACGGGCAATTTCCTCGGCGGGCGTCTCCTGCTCCCTCACCACCTCCTGTTGCCTGAGAGAGGCCTCCAGCTCCTGAATGTCACTGCTCATCACCTCATCTCTGCGTCTCATTTGGGACTATAAAAGACATCGAACAAACAAGACAAAAATACAGAGAGATCCGATCACATGACAGGATTCCAACCTATTCTCAACTTTGGTGCTGCCTTAGTGCCCAAATGTCTGCATCTGTCATCCAATACCTGCATGCTGCGGAAATGGTTTTCTTTAGTAAATGAGTGACTGCGAGAGGGTGTGTTCTCCTGGCTGCTACCCCGGATGCTGAGGCCTTTCTTCTTCTCCCTTAGGGTTCCCTGCTGGTGGCGACGAATCCTCTCCAGCTGCTCCTCCACACTCATCCTGGGCCGGCCACTCTCCACAGCACACAGCTGCTGCTCCACTGCGCTTCGTGGACGCTCCTGTTAGCCAGAGAGGACAACCATAAACATGCAGACTTAATAATAATGTAGCGTCACTGTCAGATATTCAAAGCTAGGACACAAATGGCACCATGGTCAATTTTTACTGCACAGAGCCACAGTTGGGGTGTGGAGAATTATGGTCTGGTTGTGTCAGATCTCATGATGCAGCATTTGCAATGAATAGTGAGTATTGTTGACAACAGTCTAAACTTGACTGAGCAGAATAATTGTGTTTTCTTTGCCCATACTGCACTGGAAAAACATTTTGCTTCTTTAAACAAAGTTAACATTCAGGATTGACATAATTACTACAATAATAATGGTGAAATGGCTCTTTAATGTTCACTCTCTTGGAATCAAACAAAGCAGAAGTGCAAAGGCATATGAAAACAACTTGACCACTTTGCACTCACACGCTCCTGCTGGTACACATGGGTGCACTCAGAGAGGTTGGGGGCCTGCTAATGCCTGGGCAGGAGAGGCTGATGACCATGGCTGATGGTGTGAAGTGAACTAAGGAGCAGTTGTTCACTCTAAGGTTTTAGCCATGCTGGAGGGGCTGGCAGATCTGGATTCAGTCTAGAGCCTGAGGACACAGCCCCCCCACTGTCCAGATTGTTCAAGAGCCTATGCTGAGCTCTACAGGCCTGTGACACACTCACTGCCATGGACTTTCTGCCCTCCAAGGAGAACTATGTTTGACTAAATTGACATATGTTCATTCATACTGTATGTCCATCCATTTTTTCCAACACAGACACACTAAAAACATGACACACCCTACACTAATGACATGGTTACTATATTTAAGTTGACAGTTTTTGAGGCTGGAAACTGTGTAAACCAAGATTGGCATCTATTTTATAACAGCCTGGTTTTGAGAGAATGAGTCACACCCCAGCCACGTGATGAATGGCCTCTTCTGCACATGTAACCAACAGCTTAAGAACAACCAATCAAGAGGGGACTAAATGCCGTTAAAGAAAATTAAGGGGTTGCCCCTTCATTCTTGCCCACAGGAGGATCACAAACAAGAAAAGAAGAGCAAAAGGCATTTGCCACATGTCTGGTCTGGTTTGCCACATAGGAAAACAGGCGCTACAAAGTTGTGCCCTTTTTACATTTCAGTTTGTTCTCGACTTGATGGCAATATCTGGTACAATATGGCGTTCCAAAAGTTTAAATATGCAAAGAACAATTTACAGTTGCTATTTGAGGTCACATCAGAGCAGTGAGAACTTAAGTTCCATAACTCACCGTCCTAGGATCAGGCTTCTTGCTTTTCCTTAATGTGACATATGAAGCTATGGAGGAAGACTCAGGCACTGGAGATTTGGTTCTCGGTGGGACAATGCCAACTGGGTAGGACATCCCTAGAGTGAAGACACAGAGGTCAGTAAGCCACCTCGTTCAATGGCAAAGCACCTGCTATAACACATATACACTGAGTTATCTATATTTTAGAAAAGATATTGTTATAACTGAAGTGAGTTTGCACAAAATTAAAATAAAGGATGTTTGCACTATAAAAGAAAATCTTAATTATCCATATTTAAGACATATTAGCACATACGCTTTATCATTAGCTTGTACTTAAGAATATGAGAATTAATTAATATTTTCTATCTGTTGGATTAAATCTGTGTATCTATATTATATGAAAATATAAACATATAAAATCAAGTACACTCTCACAACCATTACTGTATTTCCAGCAGTGTTTTCAGGCAACATCAGCTCTACTTGCAATCGATTGTGTGGTGGTGTGGAACAAGTGTGGAGCTATAGTGTAATTATTCAACTTCAGAAGGCCTGTATTATGCTCTGTAAGCTGTTTCACCAAATCAAATTTAGACCAATTTGCTCTTTAGGTCATTCTAATCCATCTTGTCACAGAGAATATCTAGTGGCATAATGTCCAAATGAAGTCGAGTAAATAGAATAACTAAGTTATCCCAGCACTGACCCACATTCCAACCCAGTAAAAAAAACCTGAGTGGTATGATTTGGTTATCATTTCATCTCTGTTGACAGACAATATGCCCTCCGTCTTGTGAAGCTTAGCTTGCCATCACTGGAGCTCTCAGAATATAATGTGTTGACACTTGAATGATGGTGATTAGGGTGATTAACACAGTGTAAATTAGATTCAAGCAAATGCCTGTGTAAATGCCACTGTATTCATGGTAACAACTGAACACCAAGTAATGGTCGAGGTACTATGTGATATACTGACCTAACTTATGCCTTTGGAGAAAAGCCTGACCTCCTATTTATGCTCTGTGTCAAAGTAATGCCTGTGTAAATACCATTGTAACCATGGCTTCTACCAGTACTGGAAACAAGTGATTTTTTTGCTAGCATCTGTTTTATCATTTATTGGGCTTCACTGGTAAAATGCACAGTTATCAGAAACTGGCATCATGTTACCTGGACTTACTCTACTGTACCTTTGTTTCCAGAATGTTCTCTATCAGACGGATGTTCAGATCTGTCCTCTCCATTGCTCTCATCCACTTCGGCTACTGTGGTGAGCTCTGGTTCACTCTTATACAGCCTGTAGTCTGGACCCTGCAGGTGAGCAACAAAAAAAACTTAACACGTGTGCAGAACAGCGCTGATTTAGTTATGGAGAGTTTGGTTCCAAACTGAGATGTCCAACACTGGAAAACAGTGACATTTTCTCTTACAGAATGACTTCAAGGACAGTGGCAAATTGACTTTTTCAACAAAATTATGCTTTTACCAATAGTGCAATCTTAAAACAAACATATAAAATATATACAGCTTGAAGAAAAACTCCCCATGTTGTTTGAGTTTGACACACTGTTCTGCAGCCAAATGAAAAAGTAGGCAGCAGGCAGACATTCAAATTCAAACACGGCTTAATTTGCAACGACGGTACGGACATAACAAAACAGAACCGTTACATTTCAACACACAAACAGACACAGAAAAGGAAGGTGGAAACTCAATTAAAAAGGGAGCAAAAATAAAATAAAAAAAAAACCACAAACAAGGCTTCATCCAACTACCTGAAAAAAGATGAAGTATGGCATCAAGTGAGTAAAGGGATATGATCCAACCAAAAACAATCCAAAACACGAGATGTCCAGCAAAATTAACATGAAAACCATCACAGTGAGCAATGACATGTGATGACACAGCTGAGGGCAGGGTCAACCATGAGGTCAATGGGTCAACAAGCTTACGCTGTGTGTGCCATTCCTGTGACTGGACTTCCTGTCCTCCGGCCTGTGGAGTGATGATGGGCGCACACCAGCATGAGAGGGCATAGGGGGCACAGTAGGGGGGTTGGGCTCGTAGGACTGAGGTAGGGGTGGCCGTGGGGGTACCGAGTCCTCCTCCTAGGGATTATACAGGGCATGACAGGACAGGAAGCAAGGTGACACATGGTGCCACCACGTACGCTTTAGGGCAACCACCATCTGGTAATGAGTAGTTCTGCCCCACTGGAGAGCAAACCGCCTGATTAGCCAGAGAGAGAGAGAGAGAGAGAGAGGTCTTCATGCTGTTACAGCATGACTGACACATCCACTCAGATACCACCGCTCATACTGCCCATGAGCACAACTGTCAGTTTGAGCCCTCAGCTTAAGTTGATCATCATATAAACAGCTGCAGGAGATCTGGGTAACTTATCTCTGCCAACAACAACAAATCCTCACATGTGATAAGTTGGACCCAGCAAATGTTAGTAACTTTTTTTGTTTGATAAATGTCTCACAGTTAAATAATTATCAAAACACTTTTTAATTTATCTTCTGTTACTGTTTGGTCTCTCTGTTAGTGGTGCCTCACCTCATTTTTGTGCTTACTGAAGTTGGTCTTAGGCCCATAGAAACCCATCCCATCAACAGCATTTCTCTGAGCTTTGTGTTTATTGAGGGCCTCCATTACATCTTGAATCCTCCACAGCTCTTTCTGGATGCGGACATGCTGCTGGCTGGGAGGCTCTGTCTGGATGTGCACAGAAAACACACAGATGTTCACAAATCACCAAACATCACTTGGAGATTAACCTCCAACTCTGACTTCTTGGGCTAATGATGTAAGATTAACATGCAAGAGACAGAGCAAGACGCAGAGGAAAATGAAAGAGATGGGAATGTGCAATAGTAAGAGGGGAGATTATTATTATTATGCTCAGGTGTGCAGTCAGTGCAGACACTGATCTGCTCAAGCTCCTACTGTCTGTGAGAAATATTAGCCTCAGAACGAAGAGGAGAGATGAGAAGAGGGTTATAGTTAGATTGAAGAAAGTAGGGATGGAGGGAGAACAGAAGAGCAAGAGAAATGGACACCTAATTATCTCCTCCTTACTGATGACAGGTTTGTCTGAGTGTGAAGGGCACTTAAGAAGAGGATGTCCAGACCCCCTGCAGGCCATCTGACTTCTCTACTCACTCTGAATTAGCACTGGCTCTGGCTCAGGCTCAGGCTCAACCAGGAATAACTGTTTGAGTGGTTTCTCTCTGTTTCTACACCTCTCCCATGATGAAGGACAAGATAAAAGACAGACTTAATTAAGACCTGCTCTATCATCGCCACAGTCATCAATCACTCACTATGTTACTTTGATCACTCAGTTAACTCCCTGCACACTCGGCTAAGGGCACTGGAGGACAGAAATCTTCTTTACTTTTTTCCCCAAAGTCAAAAAAGTGTCTACAAAAAGGATAACTAGGTGTTCAAGAGAACCTGCGACGTTTTCAGCTTGCTTTGAAGCCCTGCAGTATATCCACTCCAACCAAAGCCTGACTATTATGCCATGCCAGTCTTAGACAGCACAAGTGGTGCAAGATTTAAGTAGTACAGCTTCCGTCTCAAGAATTATCCTACCTGAGGGCTTCCTAGTGCTTCTAGCTGCTCCAGCAGGTTGTTCTTAGCCAGAGTCACATCTCCTTCCAGCTTGTCATACTCCCTCCATGACCGCTCCAGCTCCTGGTTTGGGAGAGATGCACTTTGTGAATGACAATGTCAGAAAAACTCTTGTCTCCTGCAGAAAGAGAACATCAGTGTCCAGCATGAGTGTGTGTTGTGTGTGTGAATGTATTGTATGACTCACAGCAGTGACTCTCGACAGCTCTCTGCAGGTGCTGAGCAGGCCGCTCTGCAGTAAGTCTCTCTGCTGGATGACGCTCTGCATGGCAGCTGGGTTATCAGAGCCCATCTCTATCTCCTGGCTAGCTGACAGCAGTGCTGTCTCCAGGGTGTGCTGAAGAAACACGCAACATATCAAATACACATGCAGCATGAGTATGTAATTTGTCACGTAACCTTTCAGATCAGCTAACTTTAGAAAAGTCTTAACGGATTATTTAAGCCTGCAGCAAAGATTTTCTGGTCCATGACCTTGTTTTTAGCTCCCTTACTTCTTGCAAAGTATTAAATAAAAAAAAGTATGGCTGCAAGTAACTTACTTTCTTTACTATTAAACTGTGTTAAATACTGTGATTATTATTTATGATTAAGTGATTGTTAAATCAATAAAATGTCAAAACTAATGACCATCTCTACCCATCAGCCTTTCTATTAGCCTAATGTCTGTTTATTTTGTCTCATCAACAATCCAAAACTCAGATATTTCAACCCCAACAATATAAAAATAACAAATGCCTCTGAAAACCAGTCAAGTTGCAGGAAATATGGTCACAATCTCCTCTTGCTGAGTTACAACATTGAATAATGGCCAGAGGTGTTTTTGCAGAACATTGTGATGTCATAGTGAAGTTGACCTTTGACCAATGATATAAAATATAAAATCACAGTGACCTTGAACTTTGACCTTTGCTCACCAAAACTGGGCCAAATTGAGTCCAAGCAAATGTTTGTGCCAAATTTGGAGAAATCCCCTCAAGGTGTTACTGAGATATTGTGTTCACAAGAATGGGACGGACATATGGAAGAACGGATGGACAACCCGAAACCATTATGCCTCTGGCCCTGGCTATCGCCGGCATGGAGGCATAAAAACTTGAACTGGGAAATTATGAACCAGTCACTGTTTGATATCCTTACTTACAATTACTTTATTCATTAATCCATAACCAAAACTGTTTTCTCTCAACTGACATATCAATTAGTCAGCCAAACATTTCAGAATGTAATTTGAGTATGTCATAGTTTATTTTGAGTTTTCTTTTTTTTTTTTTTTTTTTTTTTTTTTTTATGAGCAAACTAATTTTACTACAATTAACACTCTATCATTTATTCATTTGATCAAACAATCTAACCTTTTCTCTTCCTGTCAACACTGCAGTGACCAATACAATGGTACCATCTAAGAGACAGTCAGATATGCTAAATACAACATGGCTATGCAAGCCAGACAACTCTTGCAAGTTGATGATAGTAGCTAGGCTATAGTTAAGCATTATAACAGACATGCACGTATTGTTTTCTCTCTTTCTCAGGTTTGTGCATATAAACTGAACTTGGGCTATTCTTTTAATTTAAAGAGAGTATAAACTGTGTATTCTTTTTGGTTTATTCTTTTTCCACTTGGCACCACAACCTTGTAAGCAGGGTTTTGTGTAAGAATGTAAAGATGACAGATGTGCAGTGTGCAGTCACCTTCTCTCTGTACAGCTGCTGAAGTTTGTCTTCCTGTGTCCTCACCACTTTATCCTGCTCACACAACCTGCTAAGTTTGGTCTGAAGAGAGAATAATAAAGAATTGTGACCCATTGTGGACAGTTGTTGAATGGAGCATGAAGTCATGTGAGAGTGCAAGACAGAACTTACATCAATGTCCACCTCTTCTGGCATACACGTATAGGCATGTTCTCTGTAGTCCTCTGGACTCAGCTGTGAAGAAAGACAGAACATCAGACAGAGACACCAAATATGCACATGCATTGAATCTGGAGATCTAATGCAGTGTCATGACAAGACTCTGTCTCACTGAGCCACAGTATTAGTCCTTAAGTAAAAACTCACATTTCACTGAATCAGACAATCTAAGTTAGCACACCAACAATGGGAGAGTGGCCAGTCTTAACAGTCTCTCCTCTGATGACTCTGGTACCTCATGTTACATCAGCCACACTCATTTGTCTCAATCAGCACAATGCAGTGGATTTTTTGGAAATGCAAGGGGAAGGCATGTTAAACAATCTTTCTTACTGAACTATAGAATCAGCACATAAGCTGTATCCTCTTCAGCTACTTGGTCCAAGGACTCTGCCTGTCTCAAATGAGTGTGTGTTGCAGTAAATGCAATATTACCTAAAGAATATCCAAGATTAATATGCTAACCACAGAACCTCATAATGCTGGCAAAAACTATAGACAGGTATTCAGTTACTTGAATCCAGGCAAAAATACAGTCAGTTAAATAGTGTACAGTAAAATACAGGCAGTTTCAGGATGTTACTAATATCACACTGGACTGCAGGTAACACATTTATGCAACTACATAAATGTAGTATAAAACCAAGAAAAGAAAAAGGGAATCCTCATCTTTCTCTTATATTATGGTCACTCATCTTCTTATCTAAAATTCAAATTTAAAAAAACAGTACTGCTAAAAACAGAGGAAATGATTTCAACTGCATTGGATCCCATGTTTCCAAGTAATGCATTCATCACATAATGCTTCATTATTCATCCACTCTTTTAAATCTAGATACAAGACACAAGTGCAGTCCATAAATATTAGGACAGTGACATATTTCCGTGTTTTTGTGTGTTTGTTCTCATATTGGATATGAATTTAGATAATGACACATAAGGAGATAGTGCCACCTTTCAGCTTTATATTCTTGATTAATTGAAAAATTCACATGCTTTTGAAATAAACAATCATATCAGTTGATGTTGGCTAGTCTACAGCCTACAGACATCAGCAAACATCTTCCTTTGTGATGCTCTGTTAGAATTCAACTGGAGCTTCCCTTCTTGCTTGTCTTGGGCCTTTTTGATTTTAGCCTGGTCTTCAGCTAGTAAAACATATCACCATATCACAAATCAGATCACATATCAGTTTCCCCTACAAAACATTGGTTGCTTTGGTTGTTGTGTATGTTTAGGTTCATTACCCTGCACTTAAAAAAAACTTTAAGCTAGGATTTGGCACTTAAACTTCAATGACATTATTTAATTTCAAATCCAACATGCTGGCCTACTGAGTTAAAGCAACAAAAATTGACTCACTGTCAAAATACTTTCAGACTCCACTGTATACCAAAGCTCCCACTCACACCTGCACTCTTTCACACACATTTTTCTTAACACCTTTTTCCTCAGCTGAACCACACAGTACAGTTAAAGCAGGTGGGACCTAAGAACCACATGGCATTCCACACAGAAGATGCATGCAGACACGTCCACAGCTCAGAGAGCTTGACTGTGGTGTTGTGTGGTGTGGACTACGAGTGACGTAGGGAGGAGGAGGACAGACTTCTGGCAGCTGAACAGGTGGGAATGCAGCTGTTGCCGGGCTGGTATGCCAATGAATGGGTAATGGGGTGAGGGTGGGTGGGAGCAGTCTTCAGCGGCACTTTTTACACCTCAACAGGCGCTCACAAAAGTGGCAAAGTGATGTCATAGCCATCGTCACACACAAGCCGGCCCTCTTTATCCTTTCCATCGGCAGAATGACAAGAGGGGGTGAGGGGGAAGGAATGAAGACAAGAAAAAAGAAAGAGTTTACCTAGAAAACATTTGTCTTCATCTTCATCAGTCCATATTAGGTATAGAGTCTTTTCAACAGTTGATGCTCAGGTATGTCCAGTCTTAAAGCACTTACATTCACTAACAACAGTTTTTGTCTGACTGGAAAGTGATTTAAATACAATAAAAAAGTAGACTCCAAATGAACTGCAAACAGGGTATTGAGTTGCATATCTCTTTGTACAGTGGAATAATAAAGCATCTTGTGCTAAAAGTGAATAACAATTAACTTTATTGTGCTTAAATTATGCTACAAAAACAATTCCCAACAGGCTTTAAATTGGGTGTATCTTTTTTTCATAAATAGATATAGTATTTGGTGATGAACTGTGCTGACAAGTGACTGTCTGGCAATGCAGAATTAAGTCACACTAATTAGACCCCCCATGCCAAGTCCAGGTGAGTAATGAGAGGGAACACTTTCTGCAAAAGGTTATGAAAAATCACACACTGACCTTCACTGGTTAGGGCACTAGACAAAACAAGATTGGTGCAGACTACAGGCTTTGCTACCTAAATGATGTGGGTGTAACCACAGCTTTAGCTTTTGATTTAGTCCCAGAGTTAGCTGAATGTTTTCTAAACACATAGCAACCTCTAGAGTAAACTGTATCCAGCCCTGGAAAACAAACCTGAGAGTGAGGAGGGGGTTTAACTGAACAGTGAAGCATACACATCAGACTACTCTTTTATAAGTCATGCCCATATTTGGCATGACTTCTCATAATAAGAGAGGAACAGTCAAAAGCAATGGATGAGGAGGTGCTGGCAATACAAACGATACAGGGAGACCAGTCTCAAGATGCCATGGGGACTTGGACATCGAAGGAGGAGCATTGCAAAACAGACCAAAAAGAACAACAGCGACTGGTGAGGATGAGGCGGAGCAAAGCCTTTGGCTGGCCTTACTTGCTGGTAAAGTTGAGGCCTTGGGGCAGAGTTCTCAATCAAAGTGTGAGTCATGACGATTAAAGGGTCATTTTCCTTCATCTAGTCCAGTGTGGAGAGGAGCGATATAGCAAGTGTCAGTTTATAGCAGTGCTTCACTTCAGAGACAACACCCACAATGTTGTTACACCTCACTTGCGCTCTCTCATGAAGCAGACTCAAACATAAACACGTGCATCTACAGTGGACAGGGATGGGTACAGCAATGAGAAGCAATAAGAGATGCTTTAAAAAAGGATCAGGAGGAAGTGCAAAACTCCCAAGACGCTTACTTGTTATCAGAAGAATGTTCCTGTTAAACCTTGATGTACTATAATCATGCAAATAGCTAGCACTGTTGTTGCAATGTGTGTGGCTGTAGATTATAAATGCTAAGCCTCATCCCTTCACTTTAAAATCAAAATTACATATTTCTCAATGGTTACACAAATCGGAGGCCAGCTCATTTCAATATGAAATTATCTTGTCTAGAATCATTATAAGAAATGTGTTATTGTGCCTCTGAGTACTGACAGTGCACTTTTGTAATTACTCAAACTCTCAAAGCACTTCAGAGTGATAAAAAAAAAATTCCTTTGCAGGCACTTACTTCAATAATATGATACACGCTTCTCTATATGTACTTTATATGGAAGATATAAAGCTTGTCCACATCTCCCTACTATACAGAGTAATGTCCAAATATCCAGTAAGTATAACTAACAGTGAGTTTAGGGTATGTATTCAGACTAATGAATGAATGGGCCCAACCAGACTAGCAGACTATTGCTCTGGCAATGTTACACTGATCCAAGTAGTTATCTCTATAGAAATAAATCTTAATACGTAAATCTATGCAAGTAATTATATTATGTATTAATATAATAATAACAAAGCATTAAATGAGCTCAATTCATGATAGCAGGGGACAGGGCCATGCATTCATGCATTACCCCACCTGATTGTCCAAAAACATGAGGTTCCTTTGGAGGTGATGGGAGAGAATGTCATTCTAGCGTCAGCAGCAGAAAAGGAGAGAAAAGAAAAGGCAACAGGAGAGTGAGACAAAAGAAGAGGAAGTCCTGTTTTCTTTCTTACACTCACTCACTCTCAATCAAGCATATCATGTTCGGTGGACTGTACCAAAGTTCACCAGGAAGAAAGGAAGGAAGGGGCAGTGAAGGTGAAAAAATTAGGTTAGGTACCAGATGTACTATATCAGGTAATGACTGTAGTTTTGGACTAGAGCTCCATAACGACCAAATGACATGTATAATTTTGAACAAGTACAGGCCAAAAACAAAGAGTGCAGTAATGCTGAAGTTGAAATAATACTTTAACTACACTTACACCAAGTGTGAGTATCCTGATACTAACCCACTACTACTACATAAGATAAGGCATCCATCTTTTGGCTATACTGGTAAACAAATAAATTGTAGAGCAGCCTGTAAAAAAACAGCGCAAAAGTGATTACAAGCCCTAATCACTCAACTATTCTCCACCTCAAGCCTGCTTGACCTACATCAGTAACAGTCAAATCTGTAGTCTGATGTCTTAGAAGAGACTTAAAATGCAAAAATCCTGATTTAACATTTAGGTTTGCCAGTTGTCTTGACCTCCTTAGCCTGTCACTGTTTTAGCTCGCCAATGGCTTTAAGTTTCATCTCCAGTGAACATCTGTCTGGACTTGTCATGGAAGTAAAATGACTCAATCAACTGCTTGCCCTGTTGAAATGGTTCAAATGTGATGATCTCATCAATTGTACAGAGTTAGATCCTAGTTTTAAAATAACTCTGCTTTTGTCTCAAGACATTTCACACATTTTGGGAAAAGCTGATTCCTAAAGTAGCTGATCTGGACAACTTCAAGCCAAAGCACGGTCCTTTATAGAGAAAATGCCTTCTTTAGAGCCTTTGTCCATAAATCAGCCATGTGTGAAGACCAGAAAAAAATCCTCTGGCTCAAGATGGATAATGGAAGTGGGTAAAGATGGCATACACACCACACGCTAACACACACGCCTGCAGAAGCATCTCTGGGGGCCTGACCTTTGGGTTGTCGCCATCCATGTTTAGTTGCATAAGCTGTGCTACAGTGTGCTCCCGGATACTGTTTAGCTCTGCCTGCTGCCGCCGCAGCTTTATCAGCAGCAGAGTCAGTTCCTCAGGCTGCAAGGGAGGGAGGGAGGGACATACAGCCAAAATGAAACGGGGACACACCGCAGGGAGGGTGGGAGGGGAAAGGAGAGAACACACCAGGACAGGAGATTTAGAGGTATCAGGTTCCCAATAGGTGAACAGTTGCTATATTCAGGTACTGAGTTATCAGGACCATGAGATTATCCAAGGTGTCATCGCTGTCAGCAGCATGCAAATTCTACAGGTCCAGTCAAAACAGAAGGACAGTTTAGCATTTATTACAGAATCCAGTTCAGACATTACCAGCTCCATGACGACATAGCACTGTGTACGGCTTTGACATAAATTCCTGATCTGGCTTAAAGAGCTGTGAGTGACAGGGTTTTTACGTTTCCACTTATGTGCAGCAAGTCTAAGGAGCTCCTGAAGTGAACATACCCTAAATCCAACCACTTGGAACATGCATCTGAGCTGTGCCTAAATCTGCCTGAAGATTCCGTCACAATGTCTTCTTGGAGGGAAATGAAGGAGAGAAAGAGGGAGTGGGGCAGGGAGTGTGGCGTGATGAAAATAGCCTGATCCCTCTCCCTGTGTGTGTAAAACCCAAGCGTGAAAATACTGGGTGGTGCATTACAGAAATTCATACACGCCTCTTCACTGAGGAGAACACCAACTCAAACCTGGGAAGTTAGAAGACAGTGATGGACGCAAGAGGGGACGACTCAGTTAAGGACTCACTGTTTTGCCTTGGAGAGACTGGGCAGTGATAGTCTGGACTGGGATCCCTACAGGCATAGACCTCCTATCAGGTGGGTAGGCATACTGCGGGACACAGCAAATCAAAAACAAAAATGCCTGTCAGCTACACCTTGGATTGCTTCAAATAATCATTAACCATAGCCGAAGGAATACCCAAATACAAAGAAACATTTTGTTAATAGTGGCATTAAATTATCTTGATATTTTTTGTTTATATGCTAAAGTATTGAGATATCCATCTCAGATAACAAATACAGTGAAGATGATTGATTTTTTTTGTCTTGCAAAAAACATCAAAAATGAGTGCATGGATTTGTTCTTGACATTTTGACAACACTCTAAAAGCTGGTGGGTGGACCTTTGACAGCCTATCTCTCTCTTGAGATTGTCTTATTACATACCAAAAATGACATTTAAAAATATAAACATTTTTTTTTTCTAGAAGTGTCTGGATAATCAAAGACACACACTGTTAACACTTTTTATGAGTGATTTCTTCAGAAGAAAGTACCTGTAATGTAAAGTATTAAAATCATGTTCTGACACTGATTGTGAAAAGAAATGTTGCTGCTGATTTTTATGACAATGTTTAATACTGGGAGAACCATAAACAAAATTCCACTCAACATCATTGTAGTAGGGTGGATGCAGAAATCTGAGGGATGGGTATCTCAGAATCTGAGAACATAAAACGATTACTATTTTTATAACTAGATACCACTAAATGTAAGTGATAAATATTTTTTGTTATGTTGCTGAATCATCCCTTCAGCATGTATGTGTGCCTTAACTGACCTTGTTGACTTGAGGCCTGTGCCGTCTGTCGATGCTCATGTCTCTTCTGTAGATGGGGGAGGAAACCTCGGAATGAGCACTGTTCATGTTGTAGGATCGCATTGGAGAGTAGCCACCGTACATCGACAGGGAGCCGTGGGAGGGCGAGGGGGGGATGGAGTGACTCGGCGCCGCATGCTCTGACAGATTGATCATGGTTTTGGGACTGGCCATATTGCTGTAGAGACCCGGCTGTCTGCAGTAGGCCTGCCTCTGCTGCCACTCATACAACTGCCACATGGTGTCATCGCGCATGGAGCGGCGCTTGTCAACCGGCGAGGGACCCAGGGCCTGGTCGTACAATGATGGCGACATACTACAGATGCTGTCCCGCTGAGCCATGCTATTCCTGGGCATACTGCGGTAGCCATCTCCATAATGAGGCATATAGGGCACCCGATGGCTTGGCATGTTTCTAGGCAGTGTCTGGTATGATGTGATGCTGGGGAAAAAGAAAAACAGAAACTATGCTGAAGAAGTTGAAAAGATTTTCAGACTTCAGACTTCACTCACACAGACAACTGGTGAAAGTCAAATAGTTTAATAATTAATAATATTATTTAGTAGTTTTTTTTTAGCAAAGACCTGCTTTGATATCTATATATGTTTAATAGGCTTTTACCACCAGCGCTCAGAGGCGTTAGGTTAGTACAACAGTTGAATAATTCTTCAACTGGGAAATTCAATTAAGAGAAGACTTTGTTTATAGTCAATAAGACCTTAATGTCTCTGCATTTAAAAAATACCAGATAAAAACACCTAAATATAACTTATTAGCTATCGCAGCCATCAAAGCAATGTCATGTTATGAAATAGCACATCAGTAAAAGTTTTTGATCTGCCTGTTTAAAACACTGTAGCTGCAAGTCTAGTCTTCTACACAGATTCAAACTGGAACCTTTCCTCTGCTCTAGATGTATCTGAAAAGCACACTACATCAATCAGGTTACTGTATGTGTGAAAATGTGTCTTAACTTCTTCTTATGTGTTTCTAAGTGTGTATTTAGTAGATAAAGAGAAATAAGAACCCCCCCCAGGACAAATTAGACCTTTCCAGTGACATCAAAGCTATGAAAAGCTCCATTTCCACAGTGGGTTCAAAGTCAGTGCAGCTGGCATTATGAGAGCTTCCTATTAAGACTCCCTGACAGATCCTGGCTAGAACACTGGCATTAAAAAGGAAAAAAAAAGAAAAGCTTGTGACTCCATGGAAAGTAAACATCACTCTGGAGGACATGCATGTAATGACAAACACAAATGGAGAGAGAATGGAGAGAGATTGGCGAGTGCCAAGGCCTTGTTGTGGTTTTATGCATCATAATCTTCTTAAGTAAATGCACTGCTCAAAGCAGGTGTGTATGTCCATTTCTCAAAATCAACTTACTCAGGGGGCGGGTGGGGAAAAAAGAGACAAGGCTGTGTCAAACATGAGCACAAGCTGGGCAACCAGATGGAGAGACAGACAGATGGACAAGCAGGCAGAGAGACAGCGCTCACAGCAGGGTCTGTGGCAGGCAGTGACTCTGGCTAACAGCTCTGCTTGGCTATTATTTATCCCCAGGTCTACTTCCAGTTAATAGTGTAATGTCAAAGTGTTTAATTCATGGTGAGAAGTCTGTGAATCCTCTGGCTTTAAACAGCACAGCTTTAGAAAGAAATGGGACTAAGAAACTTTGGAAAATCTGAGTCTGCATATGAACTGTATGTGGCCACGGAGAATCCCTCCTGTCTCAGGATGCAGGTGAATCAGCAGTTCTAGATTATACTAAGTTTAGAAAAGTTCCACTTCTTGTTGGAGAAGTAGGACAAGATTGTGCAATAACCTAAAAAAAAAAACATGTGCTGGCATATTTTCTCCTTTTGCTGCATACATATTTTGAAATCACACAATAAAATAACCGAAACATTCATATATTTTTTTAAAACCTTCAAAAGGCTTATAATCAAACCAACCTCCTGGTGTCATCATCCTGGTTACGTCCTCTTTGTGTACGAACCCACTGCTCCAGCTGCTGCATAGAGCTGGTCCTACTCAGGGTGCGGTCTGGCTCATGGGTGGGACTTCGCTGAGGAGGGACTCCGGTCCCATCAGCTGGAGACTGCTCGCCAGATCCATTAACTTGGTGTGGCCCGTCCATCTCCGTTGGAGTCTGCGGCGAGGTGAAGTTAGCTTTGACAGCTGCTGCCTGGGCTGGCTGCAGTTTGATGCTGTTGATCTTTGTGAGTGGACGTTCACGCTCCTCCCCATCCTTCTGGAAACCATAGCGCTCAGCATCTAGCTGCTTCCTCTCTTCTTCTGCCGTGGTGGAGGTGACTGCGGCAGTGCACTCAAGATCGACCTCACGGTTGCGTTCATTGTTTTGGATTTCAGGTTGTGTGAGTGGTGGCCTGTGGTTAGCCACATGATTGATCTCTTGTGGTCCACACTGCTCCACTTTTAGCCGGTCCAACCTGAAAAAGACAAACGGAAGGTGTGAGTATGATTAATGGAGCAATCTAAGAGACTGTGTTATCCAGAAGAAATCAAGACAGATAAGATCTGTTGTGTGCAGTAATGGGAAGATGATAACTACATTAGATGAAATTGGCAGCAGGGATATTCTTTTGTGTTCATCACCAGTAAAAGGTGTTTAAGACATTATATCAAGTTTGTAGACCTAATGCACTACCTCTGTGAACTCTTATAATAGTAGAAGCTCTGAAATAAAAAGAAAGTGCAAAGAAAATGGGCAGAGTTGCACAATGTCTCTTCCAGCTGCCAGAGGAGACCAGGCGTGTAAAAGGAAATCAGATATCCCCAATAAAACACTGCCTCTGTCAGGGCACATCTCAAAGGTGGTGCTCAGACCCTGCTGATCCATTTTCAGCTCCCCTCTACCTCCTCTCTAGAAGACCTATCTACAGCTCTGTGGTCATTAGGGAGGTCTCAAGAGGTAATAGACACCACTACTCCCTGGCCTGAGACCGACTCAAGGTCACGACTTCAAAGTTCTGCAAATTCCCCTTCGCAGCATGACTCACTGGGTTACCAATAAGAAGGCAGTAGGAAAAGCATTCCTTCACAGTTTCCACTTGTATCCTCTTAAATAGCAGCACTAGTCACGTAATGTGTTCTCCAGCCTTTTGTGGCTCCACCAGCCCAGTAGAGCACACATTTAGCCCTGTGAAAGTCTGAGTGCATTTACTCATACTTGTTTGGAGGAGACTGTAGAAACTCTTTAAGGGAAAACGGTCCTTAACAGATCAGGTTTTGGCTAGTGTATCTTCTTCTTCTTTAACACCGACCACCAACTTAAAATATGAAAAGATGTGATACTGTCCACAGATCACAAGACATTTGACACTTTGAAATTAAGATAGTCTTAACTAGATAGATATTATAATTCTCTAATGTTAAATAGTCTTGTGAGAGCATCACAGTCCCATCTAACAGTGCTATCCGGTGGATTTCAGGCACTACTGCTCTGTGTAATTACAGAGCACTTCACCGTTACGCCTCTGCTCGCCCATGTAAAAAGGAGGGCATTAGACAGGCTGGCTGCCAAATAACAGACATTTTACACAGTTTAAAAAAAAAGGAAGTAAAAAAAACCCTATCCTGATGAGTCAGTGATCCTGATCAGCTTGTGCAGATATGCACAACATCCCCTGAACCACCTGCATCATGCATTCACAACACACACATGCCCACATGCACATGGCATTCTTGTGTATGTTACAGTAATAAATTTCAATAGTAAAAACATAGTTACATAATATTAAAGAAATTCACAGCTTCTTCAGCAAACCCAGAGACCAGAAATGTCAAAAGCGGGTGTTGAACTGATGCCAAAGAACTTAACAGGCTTAACAGAGGGATTTAAAAGCACTTGCTTATGGTACACACACTAAAAAAGAAAATCAGGATGGAGGAATAAACCAAGCAAGTCATTAAGAACTGTCCTCAAATGTCTTTTTCTCCTTTCAAAAGCAAAACAACCCACTGTAATCTCCCAACTTCAAAAACATTCAGGCTTTCTCTTAAAATGACTGTATTAGTGATGTTCTTACAAACCTTTTGACCGGCTCTGAGTGCACAAGTGCAGCGTCTGTCATTACTTTCATCCAAGACTCCATTTCTTTGGCTGTGTCTGTGCAAAAATAGTATGTCCTCATGTTGGGATGTGTTGCCTGTTGTGACAATAGACAGGATTGGGAACAGGAACAGTGACACACAGAGAAAGTAACCTGAAAGAGAGGAGACAAAAAAATCAAATCAACTGTGATTTTTAGTACTTTAAACCTGACTGTTAAATGAGGTTGCTTGCAGTTATGTCAGTTTATCACTAAACAAGAAGAATGTAGTGCTGTTGAGACGCTTTTAAGGCAAAAGTGACTTTAATGCATGTCAGATTTCGTAGCAAATACTGCTGGAAAAAGCTGGTTTGCGAAACACTCCTGTCTGTGGGCATCTGTACCATCCACATAAATCAAACCATGAGTCACCTGAGTTTCATGCATACCACTAGATTAGGGCAGTAAATCTGCCACAATGCTTTAGGACTTACCATGCAGTTCATTGTATGGCAGACATATTGTTCCGTTGTTGCTCTGTTCCCTCGCAGTCAACAAACCAATATATTGTTATAGCCAGACACAGAAAGAGAAAAACAAAATCTTTAGTGAACAACCTCAATATCCTGTTTACCACTGTCTGAAAAACAAAAGAGCACCGTCATTGCTCCAATTACTGCAGAATAATCTTGAGAAATAAGTAACTTTTAATGACATGGTCATTTTGGCCACAAAAACAAGAGACAGGAAAAGTTCAGAATGAAAAATATGCAGTCAAAAAGTCACCCCATCCCCAAGTGAATGACCGTAAACTGAAGAGGTTGTGCCCTGCTGTACCTCAATTTACTCTCCTTCAGCCTGAGTCTGAGCTGGAAAAGGAGTGGGCTGTGTGGTTGGAGAGGCCTTGAGCAGACTCCTGGGCGTCTGTGTTTGGCTGTACTTGGCAGAACAACTCTGTTGTCTCTTAGGGTTTATGACGGACCCACAGTCAAATACTGTACACACCACTAAGATCCCATAAAATATGCTTGTTGCCCAGTTACTCGGGGTTTCCGAGTCAACTAAGAGTATTACGATCCACCAGTGCTACACCACTGGCAGGAGCCGGCAAAGATATGACTGCTCGCATGTGTTTTCTTGGCTTTCTTAGTTTTAAAAGCAGTTTTAAAAGAATGACTTGCATTACTTCACTGTCATGCGACTGAAAATTATTTCCAAAGCAAAGACAAAACATGTTCAAAGAAAAGTAAACATAAAAGCTAAGTTTATATGCTTTAGTAAACATTGTGGCAATATAAGACCACCACAATAAAACTACTACTTTCTAACTTCAAACTGTATACCAGTGATCAAAAGTACCTTCTACTTTCAGCTCTAATCATTTTATTTTCTCCCCAAAAACTAATACTGATGCTTTACTTTTCTCGGCTCTGTACTTTGTACTCTGTACTTTATGTACTCAACCATAAAATGTGGAGTCTAACAAAGTTTGACAGGAATGAAACTATGCACTGACCTTGAAGGCATATTTTCTGTTAATGTGATCATCCACAGACAGCATAGATATATGAAAGCTTGGTAGGAGTATGCTGCCAAGTATCCCCTCCTCTTTTTCGTCTGCAGAGAAAAAACAAGTCAACACAATTCATTCGGGATTGTTTTGTATATGTATTTTTGTTGAAGATACCACACTAAACTCTTGTGTTGAACATTCTTTTGTAAACATAAAAAGGCTAAAAAACCAAGTTGATTGTGATAAAAACCTAAAGAGGAGATGAGCCGAGGGTACAGAGTCCAATCAGTAGAAAAGATGAGCATTGATTCAATGTCCTATGCAACTAGGCTGCTCTAATCCTCATTAAGTTAGCAGACAGGCCTCCATATTGACAATAGAGCACTCTCCACAGGGGGGATTAGATTGAGTCCAGAGTTTTAGGCAGGAAATTTCTTAACCTCCCAGTTTGATATAAGCAATCTGCACTGCTTACTCAAAACAGCACAAGATAAATATATCTAGCAGTCACTGCTGCAGTCCCATGTACATGTTTGTTTGCAAGTGTTGACTCTGGGTGTTATGTAAAATATACAAAATATATACTAACACATACTGGTAGTATCTGGAACAAGTAAGGCTCACTGTGAATGGTGAGTAATATTTTGGGGGGTAAATGGTAGCTGAACTTTGGCCGGCCTCTGGGAGTTTAGAAGTAGAGCTGATCACCCCAGAAAAAGTTTGAAGGGCTGATGGATTGATATATTCCCCAGCATCAGTTATGCCTGAGCCCACTGGCCCCACATTTATTTATTCATCAAGGCTCTGCGTCTCTGTCTCTCTCTTTAAAACACAAACAAACACAGCAGGTTCTGCACAACAGTCTCCGAACATAAGCTAATATTGTGGGAGATCCTGAGCGCACCACAATAGTCTGATAACTACAACAGATAGCTGAGGGGCAGTGCAGTTCATGACCTCTCTGCCCACTCCCTGCTGATGGATACAGTCTCTCAGCATGTCTGCCTGGATAAAGCCTTTGGGTCTGCTGTTGTCTGTGGCTTTTGTCAGTCAGTGGGCGGAAAGACGGTGACAGGACTGGCAGACACCAGAAATAACACAGACTAGATGTCATCCTGATCAGCAGAAATGATGACTGTATCCGCATCAAGTGAGCAGGGGGCACTGTGATATATGGACTTGTGCCATGCAAGACCGACCTCAGAGCCTCATTGATTCACAGTATTCATTTCATTTTTTTTCAATAGGAAAGTTCTCAAACATTCTCTGGACACAGCTGTGTCAATATTTGATGCGAACATTAGTACCGCATGAGAGAGGCTGAAATGCCCGGTCAAAAGCAGCTCAGTCAATAGCAGCTTATAGAAAAGATCACATCTAACACTTGCAAATGTATTCCTACTGTGCTATTGTAGCAAAGAGGGAGATTTATAAGGACAGCCAGATTTTAATAATTGAATGGAAAACCTTTAAACTGGATTGGAACTGGACTAGTGGCCATCTAAATAAAACATTAGGTTCCCCCTTCAATCAAAGTAGAACATTTAATTACTTGGTTTGGAAAATATGGGTTGTCTTCCCTAAATTACATAACCATATAAAAACCACAGATATTCAAAAAGAGTGACTACTCTAATAATATGATGGTGGTCCCTATGATGTGGACTTAGAGGAGGATCTGTAAATATTAGGAGGATAAATTCTGTTTGATGTATCTGAATCCAAGAATTACATAAGCATGCAACCACTGTTTAAAAAGAGCATCATCTCCGGACCCTTGACTTAACATTAGTGTGAAATCCAATTTCCTGCTTTGCTTTCTCTTTCAAAATTATAGCTGCATCTAAGACTTGTTTAAAGCCCTGGCTCTGCTTGGGGAAACAATCATCTCTAAAATAGCAAATCAGACAACAGGAGAGCCATTTCAATTAATATACAGTGCATTCAGAATGGATGCACTATATCTCTTCATTTGGTCCTGACAGGCTGCTTACCACAGGGACTTGGATCCAGATACATTGACAATCGCCAAGAGCACGGCTTGTGGGGCTGTGAAGGTCACAACAGCACACTGAACAACTAATTGAAAGCTACTGTTGTTGTAAGCAGTGCCATACTAATGAAACGTGTTGTTAGCCGAGAGGACAGGACTCACCTCTGTAGTAGAAGAGGCACAGGTCAGACAGCACAAACCACCTCTTCTTCCACAGCTTCATCCCTGTACTGTCCTGCAAAGACACCATAGGAATAGGGCACGGTTATTCCACGAACATGTGGGGGAGGGTTAAATTGTAAAATGACAAGGAAAAAGTACTTCCTGTGGTGCCTTCACCCCCTCTGATATATTCAATTCAAGTCCTTCCATGTGATTAAGTATTTGCTGTATGATTTGTATTTTGAACTTTGAATTATTCTACATAATCTGTTGCTTCCAACTGACTGACATGTCACAGACACACCATCTCTTTATGTGCATGTATTTCTCTATATCGTGGTATGAAATGCCTCCTTGGACTTTTTGTCATTTGGAATTTGGAATTTTGTGAGAAAACAAAATGAATTAACGGAGACAAAGCTCATCCACTTTGTATTAATCAAATTTAACATATTCCTGGGATGGATTATGGGTAATTTATTTGTCTCTGAGGAAACATTTGATTTCTGATATGAAATAAACATAATAATGAAAGTGCTCTGCTGTATTTTCAACCCAATAACCAGCTTTCACTTTTAAACGAGAGCATGTTGTTCAGTGGCCAGCAAAAATAAACCTCCTGTGCGGAAGTTGTTCTGCAGTATCGCAATGCTGTGATCAAAGGAGCTTTCAGGCTGCTGCTTGAAAAGGATGAAGGGTGAGGAAAAGGGTATTAACTCCCACGTTTGCTTTATTGGAAAACCTGAGCAGGGTCCTTACTCGTGGATTCCACCCAGAGACAAAAGTAGGGGGAGGGACCTCAACAACTCTGTCATTATGGTCAAATGGCATGTGGGCTGCAGTTTACTTTAAATGGAAATTCAGTTCTGTGAACCAGCATGTTTAACACATTAGTATCAAAAAAATTCACAATACCAGATGCTGTTCAGTGTGTTCATAATGGAGACACATCTGAAATAGAACAATAGGATTTAAAATTCTTGCGTTCTTGCATCTTAACCACTCATTTTACATGTGCTCACGAATAAACTTTATCAAGAGTCCTGTCAGATCTTCCTCTTTTGAGGCATGAGGAGAAAAACGAGGCTTTCACCAATCATCAATCACTGTGGCATTTTCTTCTCCCAATGGATCAACTGAAGGGCTGCAGCTTTTCCCTCAGCCAAGGACTTCAATAGCTTCCAGGTTTCAATGAGGCAGGAAAATAAAAGTGCAAATCCAGCTTTTATTCAGGGTAGCAGATTTGTGAGTCTTTAGTTTGATCTACGTCACCCTGATTGAGGTCCCCAAAGAAATAGCAGCTGGCAGCTGTACCAAAGGAGGCCATCATGTGTTCACAAAACTGTGCCGGGAGGCTGCAATCAAAACTAAATGAGTCTCCCACTTAGGAAGCATGAGAGAGTCCTGTCTGGCCAAGAGCTGCCTCAAGCATCCCCTTTTCACCCTGCTGTAAGTAACCAGGGAGCTGTGATGAGGGATTGGTATTTAAACACTGCCCGTGCTGGTTGACTGGCTGAGCAGAAACACTGGACAAAGAAATGCTCAGATCCTGTAAGACATCAAAAAGCTTCCTTTGAGCTAATCTTAAGACTGTCGCTGCAAATGTTACAGGGAGAGGGAGAATGTCAGTCTCATTCTCTGTGTAAAATGGAGGAAAATTGTATAAAAAATAAAGACTGCATTCACAAGTTGACCTCCTGTTTGGTAAATAAGCTAAATTCAAACACCAAAATATCCTTGTTTCTAATTATCAGTTTCATTATAAATATATTTATAGAATGAATGACCAAAAAAAATACAAGCCAACATATAATAAAGTAAAATAAATATCCATATAACATACACCTGAAGGTGTATGTTATATGGATATTTGAGGTGCACCTTTGGGAGAGACAGACCGCGGAAATGTTTGAGGCCTCCAGGAGGAAAAGGGGCCGACGATGGACCCTCATATTGGCACATTTTGCAATGACTATAAACTATACACTATAAACCCTCTTGAACCTCCCATTAAGGCACTATACAGTGCACAGCCACTGCCCCCCCCCCCCCCCCCCACTGAACATGCATAACAACTTGCAGATAATTAGTAGTAGAATAGACATGCAATGTATTACTTTATTATTTTTGTACCATTTATCATTATTTCTTTTTGCTGTACTATAAATAGGTTGCTATGTTACTATTTCTTTATTTTGTTTCTATTTTGTTTTGCTATTTTTTTTAAGGTTATGCCAAAAATACCAGCAAGTAAGGATTTCATTGCCATGAAAGGCTTATTTTCAGTCTAACAAGACTTTACAGTCATGCTAGCACCTTTGTGAGTACAGTCTCTTAGGAACAGCAGCAATTAAAGCTAAATGCTAACATCAGTATATAAACAAGCTCACACTGACAGTGCTAACATACGGATATTTAGCAGGTATAATGTTTACCATCTTAGTTTTGTTTTAGCAAACTAACGTGCTTATTAGCATTAAACACAAAATACAGTAAGAAGATGGTCAGATGGAAATGAAAATCTGTGCCAATCTGTGGAAATCAATAGAGCCAATAAATTAATATCAGACTAAGGTACCTAGTCTGCTTCTCACCTCATTATATGATTTATTGGACTAAATACAAAGTTTTACTTGAAGTCATATACTCTTGCATACCTGTTTATAAAGCCAGTTTCTCTTGATTACTGGGGCACTTGGATTCCTCCTGATAGAGTTGGATCTCTTCCCAAAATTATGAACTTTTTTGGAAGGTCTTGAGGGCTAGAAATACAGTATGAATGTGTTAACAGCAATGTGAGCTCAATCAACAAAAAAATAAAAAACATTTAACAGAAATGATGATGTCATGATAATTATGTGTCACTCACTCTTCCTGCTGGGCTACTGGGGTTAGCGGCGTAGTCCGAGCCGCCTGTGTAGTTGGAGGCCTCACTCATGTTTTTTACTGCTCGTTCCTTCTTCTCATTCGCTGGCACTTTGGAGGACGATCTAGAAAATAAAAAAAGGACAGAGCATGCGAAGAGCACATAGGCAAGTCATCAGTCAGAAATACAGACTGCCAATTTATGTTCAATGACCTTGATAAAAGAAGAAGAATAGGAGGAAGCAGCCTTTATTGTCTGTTCCACCATCATTCCTCTGAAGTTGAAACTCTTTATTATAATGAGATCTCAACATGGGCCTATGAATCAAGCCAATTACTCCCACCATGTCACTGTAGATACATTTCCAGTTCTCCAACAGCTTTAAATGGACTGAAAAGTCTGCCTGACATATTGGAATGCAGCAGTTGCAGCCGTGAATCAGACCAGGATGTCTCTTAAGTGTTTTTTTTGTTTTGTTTTTTTAAGCAAATGTTGAAAGCATACTAAGTTCAATACATTCGCCATAGGATAGAAAACCTTATGCCCATGGAGATGTCCTACATTCTTTAGGAAGGGAACAACGTCGTGCTCTAGAGGGAACAAGACAGGAAAACCAGAGTAGAGCAGAAATACTGCAGCAGTGAAAAAAGTGTAATCTCTCAAGATATACTGGTTTCAGGTCACTGAATAAGGACAGAAACTGCCAACCCTGCACTGCAAATTCTCCCATCTATGCTGCTCATCAATATTCCAACATTCATAGCCTTCAGATTATATGATATCATCTTATATAAATGAGGCACTCATTTAATATGAATAATAATTCCATTCATCCATCATCTACGTGTGCTTTACATCTATCTATACCACATAGTTCAGTTTTTCAATCCGTCCATCTGTTGGACACAAGGACAAGACTTAACTTAACACTCAACAAAAAGACAACAAAAAATAAACTCAGAGTCAATTTAAAAACAGTTTAACAATTCAGACTCCATGCTGTTATATTCAAGGTGCACAAACACGAAAAGGAATCACAACGGATAACATCAGCTTGGCAGCAACAGCAGGCAACACACACAAGATGTTCATTCCCGTGCAGCACGCTGACAGGTCTGATACTACCTGCAGACCCTTCAGAAAAATGATGAAATAAAACAACAATCACAGTCCAACTTTGTCTTACCTGTTTTTAGAAGCAAAATTACATACATGTTACCAGTTAACGCTTAGTTACAATAAGTAGCATAATTTTATCATTATGAACTGTACTTACTGACTTATGCAAGGTTAAAAGGAGAATTTCATACGGTCTGAAAAAGGTTACATCACTTACATGCACATTAACATCCCAATTGTAATGAGGCTTTTCTTTAAGAGTTTAGTTTTAGTGTTTCAATGCTATGTGTAGACGTGACACATTTCTGGGGACACCACCAGGGAAGTCATAGGGTGGGGAAGTAGGTGACTAATGCTCTCTCAAGTTGAGGTGCACACAGACTGTTCCAAAACAGCTGATTGTGCAGAGTGATGAGTAGCCACTGAGATTTGCCTTCTTCTCCTTCTAATGAGCTTGCTCCAGAAAATGAGCCCTGAAGATTTTCGGCACTTCCAGTGACAGGCGAAATCCTACGTGAACCATAATCAATAGTGTGACGACTTGCCATCAAATCAAAGGTTGGGAGGGGCAGAGAAAATGGAGACATTGCTCTATTTGATGCTCTATATAGCCACCAGACCATTTCCAGGCTCTGAGCTCCAGTGCACGTGTGCTCGTTGGGGCTTTGCTGATAATTAGTTTGGGCTCAATAATCAATCTACATGCAATGAAATTGAAAACAGTGAATGTGTTAAATTAGCTGCCTCAGCCAAAGAGTTGGCCGGTGACAATAGAAAGATAAAGAGCAATAGGAGAAATTATGCTGCAATACACAACTTACAACTTTGTGCACAAATACACAAAGTGAAATTGTTTACTGCATCATTTGGGGTAATTAAAAATAATGCTTACAAATGCTCCATAACCATGTTTTATTGTGGAAAAAAATTCAGAATAACATTGCTACAATAACACATAAATATAAAATTGTGTTTTTTATTTGTGATCAAAAACAGAATAATGATGTTAGAGATGAACTTGACAAATGTTTGTGATATTTCCTGCCATGAAACAAGTGAGGAAGACATGTTAGAAGAGGAAAAGATGAAAAAATCCTAAAATGCAAAAGCATCCCAATGAGATGTTTAGTAACATTTCCAAACCACTGCTGTAGGTGTCGAGCTCTTAACAACATGGCTAAAAGATCTAAACTTTACTACTGTTTGGATTGTGTGAACTCACTTCAATTGCAAAATGTATTGAAATAACATTAATATAACAACAACATTGTGGTTATGAGAATTCATCATCACAATGTGAGAGGCCAACTCTCAGTTCCCAAGTTTTTCCCTATTTAAGCCTCCACAGTATTTACTTCTCAAGCACTTACAGTAAATACAATGCACACACGCAATGTGAAACCACCAACTGCTTCACATCTATATTTTGACACGAAGCTCCGACTGGCTTCCACTGAAATGTTCACATGAAACACCATATGGATTTTGTCACTGTTCATATCCACAACATGCTGTTTAGAAGTGTTTGTCTGCTTTAAATTACTATTTTCCTGTTTAGATTGGTGCTTGTCCCATGACAGCAGTAGCCCATGGAGGATTTGATTGTAATGTACAAACAAAGCAATAGTTGTATCAAAATACCAGAGCTACACAACATCCATCTTTGTGTTTACAGCTCCATGTCAACAGCAAAGTCAAAAAAGAACAAAAAAAAAAATCAAAGCCTGAAGAGGTCTATCTACTCAAAAATGTTACTATACTGTGTCTACCTGCAAAGCCAAGAAAGGAGAGTTTAGTTTAATAAAACTGTGCCACATATTGCTTAGTGTATGTGTAAATAATACAGTAAAGATTCACTGAGCATGCATACTAATTGCAATACCATTACTCAGTCGTCTATCTGCAAAAAAACCCAAAAAACACTGCAGACAGCTTGCATGTCCATCACAGACAGATAACCACACTTATCTGATACTCAGGTCTAATTTAGTGTTTTCAGTTGATACAACACGACCAATATGCATTTTGTCTGCTAGACAAGACTAGTGCACCAAGAGGTACACTTACCCCAACACACAGAGAACAGGCCAGCTCTACACATTGAGTCTCCCTGATCAAATCGTCCTCTGCTCACTGTGAGATGAAAGTGCTGCCTCAGGACAGAAGACTGTAACCAGTCTCACATTTAAGCTTTATGCATGCTTTATACTGCTGCTGGATTTTAATTAAACGTATAATTTGAAACATTACATTTAAGAAAAACTGCTTCAAAGTATTTACACCTAATTTTCTCAGTTTCATATTATAATTTGCATGTTTTTGTAAATGTTATATAGAGTATTACAATATAAATGTTTTAGCATATCTTTGCAATATTACTGTAACCTAAAAAGTTAACAGTAACATTAATTTACTTCTCAGCTCAACATACTGTATGCTACACTTACTTCAATACTACTATACCAACTGTGGTAGAGTTACATCAAATGATTTGTATGTCATGTGTTAAATAAAAACATCTGATTAAGATGTGAACATAAACAACCAGTGTTGTTCTCATTTTGTCTTGTGGGTTATACCACAAGACAAGTCCTTATCAATTCCACATACGAAGACAAAACCATATGTATTAAACAGTCACATCACTGCCTGGTCCATTACCGCATGGATTCTGTGTGCCTATGTGTGAGTGTTTGGGTCTGTGTTGGTGTTCCAAGCAAACCGAGGGGGATACACTGGACTGTGTGGTTGAGAGAGCTTTTTAAAATGACCATACAGCATTTTTAAAGAAATAAGAGTGCTTTAAAACACTAAACTATGGTGGTGATCCTGACCGTTTTCTTTTTAATGAACAAAAGACTCTTCTATGCTCAAGCATAGCAAAGGAACATAGCCAGAGCTCTTAACTTATGGATGTACATGTAGCCTGTACATCCATAAGGGACGGAGCATTAAGGGGTGTTCACAAAGTCAAGGTTTTTGAAAATGAAGAATTAACTGACCTGTGTGTGTCAAAGAAGCGATCTATGATCATACTTTTTGATGCCTTTTTGGTTTATTCTAAAGAAACTTTTTGTTAGAACCCAGCAACCACACAGGAGAGCAGATTTAAGGCTTCCTGGGAAATCAGAAAACTGCCAACAAAGTGAGTTGAATAGTAGTGATATAAATATGTTCAGCTTGACCCTCAGCTCAGGAAAAAGTGAGAAATTATCTCCCTGCGGTTAGTTGTTCATAAGGGCTTAGATGAACACAACAAATGGTTCAGAAAGTACGGTGCACCTTACCAGACTTTGGAATGCAAATGCATAACAGGTCATCAGGCAAAACACCCACAGTTTGCTGTTAGTGTGCAACAACAATGATTATTAACAGACAAACATGTTCACGTCTTTAAAAAAAAAAGAAAAAGAAAAAAGAAACAGGTGGAGAACACACAGTTATCCATTTGCACCTCATAGTGTATTACCTGCTAAACGCTGGGTGACACAACTTTCCACAATTCACACTACAAAACAGAGGAAAGACAAATTTGTTGAGAATAAAATCTTTCAAAAGAAATTTGCGGTTTTGAAGACTAGCTGCAAATAAGCAGTATTTTATGTTGTTATGTTCTGAATCAGCAGATTTGACCATATTCAAGACAGTCTGAAAAAGGTTACATGATTTACATGCACATTAATATCCCAAACTGTAATGATGTTTTTCCTTTAGAGTTTTGTTTTAGTCAATTTTATGTTTCCCTGACCTGTTATTATTTTAGTATGATGTTGTGGAGTGCTTTGCTGATTGTTTTCACTTAACAAACGTACTGTAAGTGAACACTTTTTGTTGCTGACACTGTACCACTCAAAGCGAGGACTCAGAAAATGACCGCCTTTTTAAAATGAAAAAGAAAAAAACAAGTGTAAGGAATTCACCAAGACAGCCTGACTGACCCATTCAAGCAAAAATTACCAGTTAACAGGGAAACTGTTTGATAGATAACACCTCTACTCTAACTTTCCTGTCCACCCTCCTGTATTTTGTCAATCTGAACAACTTTACCACACTGTGCCTGTAAAGAGAATGATGCTTGTAGTGGCCATTGCTGATTAGCACATGTTTCATTCTGCCATGATGTCTTTTCACCTGCTGCAATGCTGGACTGAGAGCACTTAGGAGTGGGTGATGTGTGTAAAATCCTCTGGCATTATATATGTCATTTCATACCACATCATTGCATTATCAATATATATCATGATAATGGTCAATTTTATCTTATATTAATTGAAAAAGTGTTTATGAATACAAAAAACTATCTAACAAATTGAATTCCATACCATATACTGAAAGAAGATACTTTGTCAAATTAAGGCAAAAAAATAAAAAAATTCAACACTGCCATAACACGGTCCTGCTCACTGATAATGGTCTAACATACCCAGAGATATTAAAAGGGATAGCTACTATGTTATAAGCTGCACTGAACACAGTGCTCTTGAAGTAAGTTTCATTCTTGCAGACATGGTCAGATGATGTTTTGGACAACATGTTTTACATGTGAGTTCTACAAATATTCCCTGTCAGCCTGCACAAGATCATGTGAACCACTAAAAATAGGCTCAAACATGTAAAGTAATGACAGTAGAATGCTGAGGCTGACATTCACGGAGGTGGGTGAAGTCACATGTCAAAGACAGGACTGAGCCATGACTTTAGCAGTAACATGCACATCACAGCACAGCTGAGAGTGTAAGTATGAGTGACAGTTATCTATGTAATAGAGCCTTTTTATGTTAAAGCAGATTAGTACAGGCTAATGTACTAAAGTAATTGCTTAAACTGGTCCCTCAATAATAACAGAGTGGAGTTTGCTCGCTCTGTGTGTCCCTGACATCTAATTATCCAACTGTGGGTTGTGTGCAAACTCCACAAAACTAAACTGATACAGTGAACTTTGACATGGAGGCAACAAGGCCCAGGCATCACTGATTCACCAGTTCTACTTGTGTTCAAGGTCAAAGGAGTTTTGCTTTATCTGCATCAAAACATCATAAGCATGTGATAGAGTCCGTCTTACTGACCAGAACACTGAGTGTCTGTCTTAATCACTGCCAACTACCTTAACTCTGTGTGATACAGCCACAGTATCTGCCTTTCTTTTAGGCTGTTCTATGTTGCCTCTTCACAGAAAGCTGCCCCACCCTGTCACTATTACGTAAATCATCATGGATGTGTAAATAAGTTTCACACATCATGATGGCAGACCTGTTTTTTTTTTTCTTCCCCAAACTGGGATACAACTGCAGTCTCAGAGTAGAAATGACTATTTGCCTCCTTAACTCTGTTAATCAAATCCAGGTTTCCTTAATGTTAATTATTCATATTTCCTTTTTGGTTGTATTGTTTTATAGTATTTATACTACATATTATGTCTTGAGGAGGGTTGAAATCATGTTCTTTACATATTATACTAGGCTATATACAAGGCACTAAAATTATATTGCCAAATAGAAGTTTTGTGTTTTGGATTTACTTAAAGTGTAGAGCAGATTAGGCTGTGGTTTTTAGCCTGGCCTCTTTATCCCTGTGGCAGCTTAAATCCGTCTTTGCCTTTTATTACTCATCCAGTGTAAAGACTTTCCTCCTTATTACTTTTGCTAAAACACAGCCAACTGTTGGACGAAATGCACTGTAATAAATGCAAAAATAACAATGAGTCAAGTTTTAGTTTTATCACTTTGCTGTTGCCTTCATGAAGTTGCCCTCTAGTACATCTGATACAGATTTATTTTGTAGATTTATCCTACAACGATAAAAACCAATTGCTGAATTAGAAATTATCTTGCCGTGGCATGTTGCTCCTCTCAGAGTGAAAAACAGCAGAGATGTGAGAGTAACACAGTGAGGGGAGGAATGTGTCAAGAGAGTGCAGTGTGACAGTTCTGGCACAACAAGCTTCTTCACAACCATCTTTCAATTATTCCATCTCTGCTGAACAAAATGCAGCACATAAGAATTTGGTGAGACAAAACAGCCATATCATATTTTAGTAAAATTAGGATTTTAATTTCTAAACCTCATATTGAAAAAAGATTAAACTGGTGCCATGATGGGCCATCAAGGAATTTGATTCCATTAGATTTCAATTAGCATTTATTTATCGACAAAATAATTGACACCAGTTGTGATGACATGACTTCAGTGCAACAACATAACATTGGGGGAAATCTACTATAACAGGGGTTTCTGAGGGGAATGAGAAAGTGAGTGGAGCTTATATATGCCCAAAATTAAGCTAAAATGGCTGGTAGCAGATGAAAATTGACACTAGTGTCATGGTGTGGGCTATGATGCAAACAGTCTAGACACAGAAGTAAATCTGAGTAACAAAATGGTATCTACCCTCTTTTTTCTGTGTTGGACATCCTGCAAGCATCTGGACAGAGTACCTGTCTTTGTCCACTCAACACTACAAGCGGGTTTAAGAGTAACAGGTGGGTAAATCTGAAAGTTCCTGAGGCGAACAAACACTGACTAAGTTTAGTCCGGCAGATTCACAGAGCTTGTTCTCCTTGAAGTGAAAGTTCAAGATGACTGGTCAACAATCCTGTCATGTGGGCAGACATGTGATGACTGTAGTGCTGAAAGCAGTGTGGATGATCACATGGACGTAACATTGTTGAACACATCCTTGTACTTATGACAAATGAAAAGGCCATGAACTCTCACCCCTGTCAAAAAGAGGGAACTGTGAATCATTGCATTCCCACTAGCTGACGTAAACATGATAGAATGGCTTTTTATTGTCAGCCTTTGCCATCAAGATTATTAACTCTGCCTTGGCACTTGTAGAAAACAACAGCCCAACTATGCAATAAAAAAACCTCTTCAATTATATGAATATGTAAGAAGTATCTAAAAACTGATATTTCCACACAGTACGTTTGTTCTTGTTTTTATTTAAGGAATTTGTTATGAAGATAGATAACTGAGGAAGTGCTGAATAGAAAAGGCTTTGAACTGAAAGGGCATAACTGCAAATAGAGAGTGGCAAGGCGAAGGCTTGCGCAATGTTGGCTACACATCTGGAGTTTCAACGACATACTGTAGTGTTCAAAAAATGTTACCCAGTAGCATTCTAAAAGCATACACAAGAGACTTACTGTTCGTTGACGACAAAGATGCAGTTGTCTTGTGATGGTAAGCCCGAGACAGGATGCTTGCAGGTCACCTTCCGCTCATTGTGACTATTGGGAATAGGGTGGGGGAAAAAAAAAAAAAAAAAAAAGAGTCATCAATGTTAGAATACACTGCACACACACATCAGTAAAAACAAGCCCATCAGTAATACTGCATCTATGCTTAAAAATGGTTTGTGGATACGCTGCGTATTGCCCTGAAAGCCCAAACATATTTTCAAAGAACTTAATTTGCCAAACATGAAAGCAGTTGATGTGGAGTTTGTATTGGCTGGGTAGAAATGGGAATATTCAGTGGAGACAGGACAGATACACAGTATGGAAATAATATTAGCGAGGTGAGAGGAGTTTATCAATTCAAAAACGTGCTGCTGTAAAACTGCAAATTTCCTCACTGTGGGACTAATAAAGGGATATCTTATCTTAAAAAACAGTGAAAACTGGTCCAACCACACATACGTTTCAGTATGACACTAGAACAAGCATTCATGCCATACCATAATCCAGGTAAAATCAAACCGATGATGCTTATGGAAAAAACAACAGCTCAAGTGCATAATGAAAAGACAAAGTATGGCACTAAGGGCACATAAAGCACATGAGGTATAGCAAAAGGTCCACAGCAAAATACCCGTTTCCTTCTTAAATAAGAGGATCACAACTTTTACGATGACTTAAAACAATATACAAGAGGAGAAAAGAGCAATTTAGACCTAGATCAGTGTGTGCCAAACTTCAACTTTCACAAAATCATGACCAAATCTACAGGCTCCATAAGGCTGCCGTGCCATCCTACACTTGTCAACTAATGCACACAGACCACACAGCCTAGTCTTTGTAGGGAAACCCAAGGATTGGAGCCTTAACAACAAGAGCAGCTTTCCAGTAAAGTCAAGCCTGGTCAGTGTGGTGTGTGATGAATTTGCCATGGGGTGGAAGGCTCAGTGAACTTCCCAGTCAGAATTACAAGCTTCACTGTTCTTCACTGTTACTAGTAAATCCTAAATCAAGTCTTTGTTTCAACAGTGTCGTTGGCATAGTGACTACTAGACTGATTAATTAATTCAAGAAGATCCAGGTGATCAACCACCTATCTTATACCCTACAATTAAAAGACAGAAAATCGATGGCAGTTTTATTTTACTGTTAGTGAGTTACAGGGAAGGGAAGTTCAGTAGCTGTAAAGAGTATGTTAATGCCAATATATGAATCAAGTATATTGACAGCTGCAGACATTAAATAAGGCATTAGAGAATATGAGTAAAGGGAAGAGCTGCAATGTCAACAACAGTCTTCAGAATTACTACTGCCTTTACTGGAGTTATTCTATATTTCAGCTCAGTCAGGCTGTACTATAAACAGGAGAGAGTCAAGCTCCATCCCAAAAATAACAGTTTTTAAACATGGGGTAGTCGTACTGAAAAGAGCAAATACCAAGTATGAAATAGGGGGTTTAGTTTCAGTTTAGCCTGGAGAGCAACTGTCTCCACAGCTCTGGTCTATAATTACTGGAGGCACTGTTGGCAGCAGAGCACTCTGTGCGGTCTTGGGGCAGACGAATGGCACCATTTTTCTTAGCTATCCCATCACACATGCCTGTGCTGCTCTGCACATAGGTTGGCTACAGACTTAAGAGAAGAAATAAAGTTTGAATAGGTATTTATGTGCACAGTAGTGTGATGAAAGGATGATGTTATACAGATTGGAATTAATAATCAGATCCAATGACGTATCAGTTTCAAACAATCCAATTTTTGAGAATCTTTTAGCTTTGATACTCTTGATTCCCTCGCAAATAATTGCTTAATACATGCACCCCAAGTTTGCTTTCATGTGGCACTTCAGCCATAGCTAAAAGGAAAACAGGCTCTAATATATGGGTGCATTTTTACCCACCTATTGATTGGCAATGCACGCCATTTCATTACAGGAAAGGAAGTGTTTGATACCTTATGGGATATTTTAAAAAGAAAAGAAAATCTCTCCTGTGTATCTACCTTGGGGGGTATATTATCTCCTGTAAAGTGAACGCAAATGAGTTCATAGAGCACTGACTGCCATAACTCCACACGCTTACAATGCATATACTGGATAAATTGGAGTGTTGAAGTGAACTATTACCATGAACCATGTTTGAGTGGCATGCATCCTTCAACTATGCAACAGATTATCTGTACATATCATTTTGCATACTTTTAATGTTGCTTAAGAAATGTAGTTATAGTTTCAATAAAGCTGTTTTGCATTAAAACTAAAGCAAATAACTGTGTAACATGGAAGGATTGCTAGTATTACCACTCTGCAGCTCTGTGCTGTTTTCAGCTGCTTTCTTCATTATTTTGGTTTGGCAGTCGATGTGGTGAAGTCCCAATGCTTCTAAATGATGGTACACTACACAAATGACTGTACACCACTTGCCGAATGAAAAAAGCCAAAGTAAAAAAAAGCCAAAGTAAACAAGTGAAACATTTACAGCAGCTAGCCAAAAGAGACCAAGACACTTTTCTCATGGTTAAGGAGACCAAACCAAGGCTACAAGGCAATCTATCCGTCTATCTATCTATCTATCTATCTATCTATCTATCTATCTATCTATCTGTTAGCAACACCTGTTCATCAAGACTTTTGAAGGGACACTGAATCCAAAATGATATAGTAGTTGATGTAACCTTTTTGTTCTGGGATCACACAAAATTCTTAAACTTTCTTTCTGGAGCACATGGCTGTTTGACATTTGTTTGATGACTCTCCCTCACACTGGCCTCTGACCTGCCTGTGGAGAGGTTAAAAATGCAGATGATGTCACCTTTAAAAATCAATAGAATATCACATCAAATAAATTTCAGATAAAATTCAATGTTTGACTTTAATCAAGTAATTAGCTGATACACTTATCCAGTTTTATCTGTCAGCAAGCTACAAGAAGCACCGTTGATGAACCTGAATTAAAAAGGATGTAAATCAACACCTAATATTATTGACTATTAAAAGTGTTCAGCCTCTTTTAGTTAAAATATCACTCTCAAAATGGAGCTGAGCAAGGTTCTGAAGGTTACATCTTTAAAATGAAAAGGCCCTCCCGATGTTGAGAAAGTTTTTGCAAATGTGCTGACTGACCTGTGTGCAAGGTCAGTGTCTTTACAAGGAGGTTACGTGACATCAAAGAGTCCCTACACCTATATGGGCGGAAGCTATTTGAGAAGGTCCTAAACATTCTCAACATGATCCATGTGCTATGGGAGGACAGTGAGGTCTTAAAGCTCAGTGGAAAACATGGGGCCAATGAAGTAACATGGTGGCTGTGGTCATGTGTAGGCCAGAACAGGCAGGATGAGTAATAGCAACACAGTTTCTTGTTTAGCAGAAAAATTTCCTTTTGGGCAACCTACAAAAGTAGCCCACAGGAATCAGTGGTGGTCTTAGATAGCTCTTAGAGCTATTTTGCTATCCTATTCAAACTATACAGTGACATTCAGCATACCAATGTGACAGACTTGACAACACTGAGAAAAAGGATGAAGGCATCCCACGTTGCAGATATGGATATTATTCAAAATCACTTACTGCCTCCACATGGCGTCGGGAGCTGATTGCAAACATGACAGGATCGTATTACGAAACAATTATTGACAAAATATGTGGGTTGATTCCCATGTCTTAAACATCATCACATCACTAGATAACAATGCAATCAAAGTTGATGACAGCAGCCACTTGATGCTGCACAGCTACCAGCTCAAAATTAAATCTCCCTTTAAGTAAATATGTTTTCAGAAATACCTCTGCCAACTCATTTTAGCTCACAACACCCTTTAAAATGGTCACACATGCTCTGAAGGATGTGGTCTGTGGTCACTTCAGTCAGGATTAAGTTAGCTTAAAACCATGGGGCTGTACAGTAAACGGAGCATATGGTATCATTTTTGCTTCAATAGAGGGCAAAAACATTGTATGCTCTTCATGTAGGCTCAGGATTTCCTCATGTTTTCCAGGGGTAGATGTTAGTTTATGGGGTGGCTATGGATGAGGGCCACCAGAAGGTTCCTTGCCTCTTGACCTCAGATGTGTGGAGGTGGGGAACTAGGAGTGGCACTAAGAGCCAACCAACCTACAGTGAGGAGGGCTGGGCAGGTTTCTGGGCTCTGGACTATCCTGTCCACAATAATTAGCAGTGAGCTGCAGTAATGAAGAGCTTAAGATCTAGGGGTCAACACTCCACAGGCTTAGCTTTTATTGTTCAGGGTGGGTCTTTGAGCCTTTACTCCCCTTCTAGTATAGTTTAACCACAAACAACTGAGAGGTTCCAAAAAGGATCTTTACATTAGAGAGAAGGGGAAAAGGTCTTCATGAGTTTTGACAACATATCACTGTGCCCTACTGGAGGCTCCTTTGTATAATTATTTCATTTGAAAATCAAACCAAAGCTGGAACCCAGATCTTTGCTTGATACATTTTTGAAGAGGTGAAGTGGGGGCAAACATTTGGTTTAGCATTCCACTCCACTCGCATCATCTGTGAAGCCAAAAACAGCTGTTTAATTTTGGGTAATTTACCCTGAGAAATTATCTTTGATGTTTATTCAAGTCTGAAGCTCATTAAAAATAAAAACAAAGTTGTTAGATTGCTGAGTTCCAACATCATTGTCAAAAAATCTGAACTCAAAAACCCATCTCTCCCTCAATCTCTATTCATTTGACGGTACAGTGAAGTAAAAATAGATTTTTAAAAAATAGCAGATAGAGTGTGTTGATTGTCAACCACTAAAGAGTTATTAAGGGGGTAAATAACCTCATTACATCTTTACTTTCTACAGACGATGGAAGAAAAATAAAACTATTTGTGGCTGTATGTTTTGTCAAATCTTTCAGTGTGGAGTAACTGTAAAAACTGAGGGGGATTTCCTGGAACAAAATTCTCTCTAACATGAAGAGTTTGAACTGCTGTAGCTAATTTGGATATGGGGGAATTTATGAAAAAAAAGGCTTTTAGAACCAAATCTGTGACTTTCACACACTCAACTTGAAGACAACAATTACCTGCTCTGTAAT